GCATGGGGGACTACAGTATAGTGTGTGCCCATAAATACATGCTGGGGCCCTGAAGATGTTGAATAATCTAATTCCCCGTTCTATTACTCCTTGGTTTTCTTGGGAACGTGAGGAACACAGGGTAGGTTTGGGTGTAAGCAACTTCCTGTGGTCTCAGCTTTAATTTTTAATTTTATAGGGTTAATAGGAGAGCATAGGCATGGCCACACAATTGGTGAAGGTGTGTTTGGGAAACATGGGCAGGGCTGGGGAAAATTTTCCTGGCAGATGAGTTTTCAGGCTGTAGATTTTTTTTTCAGCCAACTTCAAGGCAGGAAGAGTAGGGTCATCCTAGGGCCACTAACTCCTTAGCTCCAAACTTCTGGGCTTCTGCCTTGCCACGTGGCTAGGATTATCAGAGAGGAGATCACTGTTTTTGTCCTTTGCCATTTCAACGGCATGATGGCTTCTAGATATCCAGGTAATTTTAGGAATAAAGTACTTGCAGATTCTGCATTCTCCCCAGCAGTCTCTTCTGCAATTGATCTGGGTTATAGCTTTTTTTTTTCCTTCGGCCTAACTCCCAATGCAGAAGTTTGGAGAGCTTAGGGAGGAGAGTGGGTGTTCACAGCTGTTGAGCAAAATTACACACAAGAATAGCTGAGTGAACTTGGAGGATAGTTCACCGAGTGCCTGAGTCACCGTCATGTGGCTGATGGAAGGCTCTGAAGCCAGCCACAGGGGATTGCTTTACAGCTTTCTGGCACTCATTGTGTTTCCCTGGGGAGGTGATACCTTAATACTGCTAGCCTGGTGTCCTTCACCAGTTGTGCTCTAGGGTTGCAGCTGCCGTCTGTTAAGTTAGCCCCTGAATGTGCTCCTTGTTATCTTGCCTTGTAAGCTTGCCAGGTTGGTTGAGTCATAAGCAAAACCATGAGGGATGTATGGACTTGGCTGCCTAAACCGAAGCATCCACTTCTCCTAAACCCTAGTAACAGAAGGACAGTCACCACTGGCTGGCTACCCATCAGAAGTGTGATGGCTGCCTCCACTTAATTCCATGATGAATCGAAGGCTTTCTGAGTTAGGCCTTTGTTGTCTCACAGAGGGGTACTTGGTTGTGTTTTGAGTGGGGCTAAGTCACATCAGGTTTGGGTCTGGGTGTTTCCGAGATATTCAATAAATTTGTGATAAGTGGTCAACAAGATACCTAGATTTTGGTCCCAGCTGTGCCACTGGTTTGCTGGACTTTCTGGAGCAAATCAGTTTAGTAAGGTGGGTATCTTTTGCATATTTGGTGTTGAATTGAAGGTCATCTTTCTAAAACACCAAAAAACACCATGTGCACAGACAAGCAGATCAGTGTTAGGACTACCTACTTCAATCAGTTTGGTTTTTTTTAAAAGCTACCTCTAATAGAGGTTCAGAGTGGCATGAATAATATCCTTTTTCTATCCTTTGTAAAAGGCCTCACTTAAATCTAATTCATGAGCAAGTCAAGATACCACTCTCTTGTTGTCTTTGTTCCTCTTCGAGAATGAAGGAAGAACATAATTCCAGTCTAGGAAGACTAAGTATACTTATTTAACCTGAAAAGGGACAGAGTACAAGCTGGGTCCTTAACTGTTGATGGCCCACGGAGTAAAGTAGGCTGAGAGAATTTAAAGAAGATTGTCATTTTCTTTGTTCCTATTAACTCTTACCTTAAACCACCTAAAAAAAATTTTTACTTTCAGTGAATAACTGCATTTGATACCTTGGTATTATGCATTGAATAAAAAAAAATCTTGGTATAGTCAGGGGTACACTTGCCTTTTTACAAGCTTTAAAAGTAGTACGGACTTAACCCCAATTGCCTCAGGAAAAAAAAAAGTACTACCGACCAATATTTTGTGATTGTTTTATTGCCGAGTGGCTTAGTCATTTACACAAAATTACAACGGGGTTAAGCCCTCTATTGACGGGCTCCTTTGGTTGCCGGAGAGAAGGTGGCCAGGAAAAAGATGAACTTTTGTTTCTTCCTTTCGTATTTTGATCAGTAATAGGTGGTGTTTGGAGGGGACTGGGGTCAGGGTGGACAGACAATGAAACAACTTCAACCACTGCTGTTTTCTGAATTTGAATGTTTAGAAGTGTTCTTGAATTTTTAAAAAGCAGTTCTATACGAATATTACAGTGGGAAGCATGCCAGTTGTTTCTAGAGAGCCACAAAGCATTCTGGGAAACTAAGGTCTAAGCCTCTAGCTTGGGCACATAGCAATTTACATCCAGAATGTCATACTTTTTTGTGGTCAGTGTTAGAACACCAAAAATAAAAAATGATTATTTCTCATATTTTTAAAAAGATAATAATCCACTGTGAACTAACCTAAGAGTAGGTAAGGCTCTCCGTGTCTCAAGCAGGTGACAAATGGATATGGAGATCACTACTGATTATATCTGTGTGTCTGACATCTTCCTCTATGTATGACCAGAAACCTTTTTATTAGACAAAAATATTTGAAACCAAGAACCCCAACCATATTAACAGAGAAAGATCCAAGCTAGCAGTCTGCACAGGTTTCCTCTAATTTTCTCCTATGCTTCATTCCTCAGGCCCTTGTAATCTTATTTCTTACCTCATCACCCAACTAAAACTGCTCTCTCCAAAGTTACCAGTGATCTCTTAATGGCTAAATCAGATGATCTATAGTCTTCTCTCCATGCTTATCTTTTTGACCGCAACACATGTCGCATCTGATACTGTTGACCACCCTCTCTTTCTGGAAACTCTCTTCACTGGATATTCATGACACTGTTCCCTCTTGGTTCTCCTGTCTGCCTGACCACTCCTCAGTCACCATTGCTGGATCATTATCCGTATCCTGCCCCCTAAATATGAGTGTAGCTCACCCCTTTCCCAAAGATCTGCCCCAGGCTCTTTTCTCCTCTCTGTCTATACTCTCTTGATAACCCCATCACATCCCATGAGGGTTCATTATCAACTTCCATCCCTAGTTTCTATGGCTAAAGCACTTGTCTTGTCACCAAAACCCATCCCTCTTCTAAATGTCCATAGCTCTCAAAGTTGTCTAGGTTTTCAGCCTTGACTCCTTACCCTCCCTTACTCCACATAGCCAACATCTCTCACATCCTTTTCTTTCTCTGTCTTCAAATAGGTACCACATGAGTTCAGGCACTCATCACCTCTCACCTGGATTATTACAACAGCCTCTCTTTTTTTGGTGGAGGCTGGGACAATAGCCTCAATTGTTTTCTCTACCTTAAGTTTCCGCCCTCTCCTATTCATTCTCTGCCCAATTGCCAAATTGATATTGTTAAAGCACAGAGTCTGTAACTTTCCTGCCTAATGAACTAGTGGTTCCCCATTGCCCCTAGAATGAAATAAAATGCCTCTGTTTGACATTTCAAGCCCTTCACAGCCAGACTCCAATCTACTTTTCCAGTCTCATTATACATTAGTCCCCTTCAGAAACTATGGTCTAGCCCAGGGGTGGGCAGCCTGCAGCCTCCAGGCCACATGTGGCCCTCTAGGCCCTCAAGTGCGGCCCTTTAACTGAATCCAAACTTCATAGAACAAATCTCCTTAATAAAAAGACTTGTTCTGTAAAACTTAGACTCAGTTGAAAGGCCTCACCCAAGGATCTAGAAGGCCACATGTGGCCTCAAGGCTGCAAGTTCCCCACCCCTGGTCTAGCCAAGCTGGCCTTCTTTGTGCTGCACATGTCATTCTACCCCGTCTCCATACCTTTGCACATGCAGTCCCTCTCAGTCTTCCTCCTTACCTTTACCCATTAGAATCCCCAAGCTTCTTTCAAAGTTCAGCTCAAACCCACCTCCTATAAGAGAATTTTTATGATTTCCCTGCCCACCCAACTACTAGTACTTCCCCCTACAAAAATGCCTCAGATTTGTTTTATTTTTTCTCATATGTATACATGTTGACTCTTCTGATAGAATGTAAGTAAGCTTCTTGAGGACAGAGACTATTTCAAGTAGGGTCTTTGTATTTTTAATATGAGAGGAATAAAATTGGATTCTTTTTTTATTGGGGACAGGTGTGGATGGATTTTAAAATTGTCATGTGTGTGTGTGTTTGATGCAAAAACCTTGCTGATACATTACGTGTATGGAGGATATTACCAAGAAACTTCACAAAAGGTCAAGTGAGAGATTTTTTTCCTCTTTTCATTTTATATATAAAATATGTAATAATATATTCCTATATTTTAATATGTGTATGTATATGTGTGTGCATATGTGCGTATATATGCACATTCAAACGATATTTCTGAGTACCTTTTGTGTTCAAGGCACCCTAGAGTATGCAAAAATGAATAAGACATAATTGCAGCCCCCTAGGAATTCATAGCCTATAAAGGATGTGACAAATACATTGATATCTGTATTACACAGAAAAGCGTGAAGGAGCCATTAGAGGGGTAATAATAATAGTAAAACAAGGAATAGTGTGACAGTATCCTAAGAAGGGTACGAAGCACTATGATGTTCATGGCTGGGGGGCGGGGTTAGGACAAGAAGGGCATTCATGGAAGAAATGGTATTTGGGCTGGGCCTTGATGTATTGGCATATGGCATGAAAAGAGAAAAAAACCTCACTTTTCCTTTTCTCACCTTGCCCTGCCTTCAGTCCAGTCCATTTTCCTCCTTCATATGGATCAAATTTATTCAGTACACATTTAGCTGCCACTGTGTATAAAATACTTTTCTGAGGTGAAGAGGACAGTAAAAAGTTAGAGCTCTGGCCTTGGAGTCAGGAGGCCCTGAGTTCAAATCCAGCCTTAGACACTTGACACTTACTAGTTGTATGACCCTAGGCAAGTCACGTAACCCCAATTGTCTGACAAAAAAAAAAATAAAGGACAAAAGTTTAGCTAAAGCATTGTCTCTACCCTTGTGAAAAGTATAGCCTAAGACCAAAATACAATACAGCAGTAATTCAAAATATTACATTATAAATGAATTAGAGAATTTTTAACATGTGATTTGGTTTCCCTCAGGGTCTCAGTGAATCTGTGAGATGGCAGTGATGGAGATTATGTGCCAAAGTGCACCTGACTCAGATATTGGGCACCAGAAGGAGCTTGCCAAGGGAAAGAGCCAGATTCCAGCCAAGAAGTGCAGCTCTGTCTGCAAGCTTGAAACTGTGGAGAAGAACCGGGTTTTCTGTGGGCAATGGGAAATCCTAAACGATGTAATCACCAAAGGGACAGCCAAGGAAGGCATGGAAGGAGGATCGGCCTCTATCTCCATCATTGCCCAGGCAGAATGTAAGTGGTGATTCGGCCCAGTGCTCTTGATCTAAGGAGGGAGAGGGAACAATACCTTTTTATCATCTCTGCAGATCTGAATCTGGATCTTGCTTTAACTGTTAAGAGACAGTGAATTTCTGCCTCATTCTCCCTTATTCCCTCAGTGGGTTGTGTAGTTGGGGAACCTCTCCCAAGATACAAGTCCCACTTCTGGTGGGATGTTTACAAGATTTCGTCAGCTACCTAACATCTTGCAAATAGCTGTCACATATATGCCCTCTCTCAATGTTGTAGTCAGGATAAAGAAAAACATAGTAATTTGTGCCACTTAACAAAGGGAAGAAGCTTCACGTATGGCAAGAAACAAAGATGACTCAAAAAACAGCAATGAGAAGTCATGCCTGTGTCATATCAACATTAGGCCTTGTTTTCCTCATCTGTAATAAGGAGAGAATTGGACTGGAAGATGATTTCTTATATTTTTTGCAGCTAAGGCCTCAATGTGAAAAGAGTCAGTAAGATTTAGTCAAGAGAATGAAAACCCAAAAGGACGGGTTGTGTGGGGGTTATGTGGGAGAAGAGGATCCAGGAAGCAGGCAGTGGAAGAAGAGGTCAAGTGGCTGAAGAAAAGGGAAGACAGTGTTACAAGAACTAGGCTACAGCTGCTTATTTCACTGCAGCTTGGTTGCTGGAAAACTTTTCATGCCTTCACCTAAGTGCTTGTTTTCTGTTAACATTAACTGACCTAAGTGTTGAACATCTGTTCTTTCTCTTCCCCTTCCCCCACCCCCTTCAAACAGGTGAGAACAGCCAAGAGTTCAGTCCCACCTTTTCAGAGAGAATTTTTATTGCTGGCTCAAAACAGTACAGGTAAGGAGGCAACTTCAAAGGGTAAGGCAGGGAGATTTAGCTGGTGTCTCTTTTGCCCTACTAACTGAACCCAAGTAACTACCCTCTCCACTTCTTGGGGGATGGCTTCTGAAATCAGGCAAAGCTTGCCAGCCCAGCTTTTCTCTTAACAAAATAAGTTTTTTTCAGATGCTTCCCACAGCTCATAGATAGATGCTTCTGTGTCTTGCAAGCTAGAGATTTCTTTCTCCTTAGGCATTGATTCACTTTGTTTCCCTCCACCTTTGATGCCTTTGTCATCAGGGAGGGTGCTGAGAGACATCTCTGCTGGCACCTGACATGTGGCCTCAGAGAAGTGCTCCCCAAACTGCCAGCCCTGCTTAGGAGACACTGGTTTGTGCAGTGTCCAGACTGCACGCCTGCCTCCTCTGGGAAGTGTTGGGATGGGGTTTAAACATAAGTGTTCACTGAGGTTAAAGTCCATAGAGTCATAGATTTAGAACTAAAAAAGGCCTTAGAAGTTACCCTCATTTGACAGAGTAACTTGTCCAAGTTCACCAGTGAATATGAATGTCTGGGATTTAAACACAAGCCCTGACTTCCAATCTTGTACTCTTTGTGTGTACTCACAATACACTGAGGGCGTGCCCTTCCTCCCTGAACCCCTCTCTTACTCCCGTTAGGGACAACGTGAAAAACCCCAACTAAGTTGACTAAAAAAAGAACACTCTTCCCTCACCTCCTTTCTGGTCAAAAGTCATCTACTGTGTTATCCAGGGAAGTTGTTCTGGAGAACTATAGAAGAATCCATCCCACTAAGACACGCCAAATGTCTTAATGATGATATTAGTTCATATTTACATAACACTTCAAGTTTTGCAAAGTGCCTTAAAAGCCTTACAACAGTCCCATAAGGTATTATCATCTCGACTACAAGTACAACATTCTTTACGCTATTACCGACAGTGGATGGTAAGTGTTGGGTAAGTGGTATAGAAAAATACGTGCTCCCAGCGTTGCTAGGCAGGAGAGGTCACTGCTAGCCAGACCAGTTAGGCACCAGCCTCAAAAGGTTTGAGTAAGAGACACTCTGGCATTAATGTGGAGCTGCCCAAATCTTGTCAACAAACCTCCCGTTCCTCAAGCAGCAAAATGTTCCTCTAAAATCCTTCTTCAGGAAGTAGCCAAAACAAACCTTGGTTGGTGTCTGGAGCCCCCCCTGCCCCATGTCCGACCCCTCTCTGTTTCTTACCTGCTTGTTCTTAACCATCCCTGCAATGATCCTGTTGGATGGGGGCAGGGTACAGGGGATGGAGGGCTGAGAGAGGGCTCCCAGGAGGCACTTGCACGTGCCTATTGAAACAGAGCATCTCTCCCTTTGACAGCCGATCTGATAGTCTAGACCAGATCCCCAACAATGTAGCCCATGCAACAGAGGGGAAAATGACCCCTGCTTGTTGGAAGGCAAAGCGTCGAAACAAGGCTGGGAAGAAACGAAAGAAGAAAAGTTCCAAGGTGCCAGGCCAGAGGGGTGGACCCTTGGCCAAGCCTCTCCCCAAAACCCCTGAGCAAGAAAGCTGCATGATCCCTGTGCAGGTGAGCAAGCTGAGCTCTGCCCTGTGGCTCCTTGTGCATGGCCTCTGACAGTTGTGGGTGGGATGGGGGTTGGGGGGGGCAGCGGGCAGGGTGTTGAGTGATAGTGCCCACTTGAGGCTCTGCCCTAATGCTCATGTTTTCCCCTTAGGAGGATGAGTCCTCAGGCCCTTATTTCAGCAACGTCCCTCAGTTCTCCAGCCCTCCAAAGGAGATGCTCCACAGCCCGCTGGTTTTTGAGAAGGTTGGAGCAGGCCTGCATTCAGCCCTGAAAACCCACCCTCGAGCTGAACTCCATAAACTGATCAGCCCAGTGCAGTGCCTGAACCATGTGTGGAAACTTCATCACCCCAAGGACTTCATCCCCCAACCAGACCTACTGTGCTCTTCCCCCTACAAGAGACTGCCCCATCCTTTCCCCTTCTCCCCACTTCTTGCTCAAAAGCCCAGACCCTTGGGGACCTTCTTGCTGGGCAACTTGGCCCGTGTAGATAGCCAGCGCCACGTGTCTGGCCTAGGTCTGGAAACTCCCTGCCCAAAGCATGGCACGTCTGAGAAGCTTTCCGTGGAGGAATATCTCGTGCATGCCCTGAAAGGGAGTGTGAGTGTGGGTGAGCCCAGGAACCTAACCAGCCTTGCCAAGACCTGGCAGAGAGGAGGGATGGGTCACCGAGGCCCAGTACCGGAGACAGAAGAAAATGAAGGGGTCCTGCTCACTGAGGTAACCCAGCAAGAGCTCTCCTCAGGGCAGCTGGAGACAATTACGCAGAGCTAGAACAAGAATCCCTTCCAGGCAACATGGGGCTGGGGCTGGGAGGGACAGGAGCCTTAGAAAACCTGAAAGACCATTTTCTAGTTTCCTGTTGTTGAAAAAAAATTTTTTTTCCTAAATGAAATTCAGTTGTCACAGCTAAGCTGTCAAAAATGCTAAGCTGGTACTGCATTTAGAATTATCCATTGTTAGAGTGCGCTTCTGACCCTGTGTCCATGACTGCCACTCTGGTGACCAGGCAAGTTAGTCACCAACCTCAGGTGGTTTGAGCAGTAGACACTCTGGTACTAATTTGGAGCCTTTTTCTTCACAGCAGCCTGACTTGCAGAGCTCAAAGGCTCCAGGTCACTTTGGGATAGAAGCAGCTCGGCACTTAACGTGCTGAGTCTAGGTCAGAAACATCAGGGCTGAGGAAGCGCCACCAAAAAATGATAGCTTAGAAAACGCTTTCCTGCTGCAGTCCTTTGTCCAGATGCCATTCAGGGCTTGGATTCCTGGCCTTTGATTCTAGTGTGTCTCTCCTTAGAAACTCAAACCAGTGGATTACGAATACCAAGAAGAAGTTCACTGGACCAAGAGCCGAGACTGCCTGGGCCGAGGTTCCTTTGGGGAGGTGTACAGAATGGAAGACAAGCAGACAGGGTTTCAGTGTGCTGTCAAAAAGGTATGCAGGGGGGCTCTTGAGGACAAGCAGGGCAGCCAGTCATGCGGGAAGCCGGGCAGACTGCCAGCTGTGTTCCTTCCTTGCTTTCTTTCAAGGGCGATCGCCGAGCAGCTTTGGGTCTGGCATCTAACAGAGCCCTGCTGCTGGTGCTGTCTGCTTTGGTCAGGCTGAGAGGGAAGCACCCATTCTCCCACGACCCAGAGTAGGAACTGTATTTTCATTAGTATGTGTACATGTATATGCATTTATGTAGGATATAAAAATGTAGTGATCATCGTGTTCATGTTTGAGGCTTCCCTGTGGGAGGCCCAGAGTATTAGGCCACTACAAAGGCTGCAGTCAGTCAAATATGGAATGAGACAGAATCTAGAGAGAATCTCCCCAGCAGGAGAAAGTAAGGGGTAATGTCAAAATGAGATAAACTAAAAGGAAAAGAAAGAATTCCAGAATTTTGCAGCTGAAAAGACCTTTAGCAAAATATCTCGTCTAACCTTCTCATTTTAAAGATGAGTGGAGCATTGTAGCTGAGTGGAAAAAATCACTAATCTAGAGTCTGAAGACCTGGGTTCAGATTCTGCTTGTAACCTATAAAACTAATCTCCTTAGGCTTTGGTGCCTTTATCTGTCAAATGAGGGCCTCTGAAGGCCCTTCTGGCTCTAGAGCAATAGTCATTTGGAATTGAAGACCAGAAGAGTGAAGTGCCTTTTCTGAGCGTCAAAGCCAATCCTGGAACACTGAAGTTTCTTATTTCCACCCCAACATTCAGGGCTTTTTCCGGGTTGGGGGGGAGGTGGCAGAGAGGAGTAGGAACACAGACTTATGATTTCATCCGTGTGGGGAGCTCTTGGTGAGTTCAAGCATTTCTAGCCTCATTGGACATTACTAACCCTCCTACGCTCTGATCCAGGGAAACTGCCTCACTCATGACTCTCCATTTCTGATTTCCATGCCTCTGGCCTGGCCATCTCCCAGGCCTGGAATTCACTGTCTCCTTAACCATTACCTCCTAAGAGTCTCTCTCTTCCTTTAAGATGCCACTCAGGCACCATCTTCTGCATGAAATCTTCCACAGCCCTCCAAATGTTGGTGCCCTCCCTCCCAGACAGGCCTGTATTTAACTATTTTGTGTGTGTATTTATTAACTATATTTTCACTGTATATTTTTTTTATATATACATGCTGTCTGCACCAGTAGAATGGAAGCTCATTCTATGTACTTGTATCCCCAGAGTTTAACAAACCTGGCATATGATAGTCATTTAATAAATACTGGTTGATTAATTGATGTCAGTGCAGATAGGTGATATTCTTCAGCTTATAGGCTTATCAGGTTGCCTGGGGTACTCAGAGGTTAAATGGCTTGCTAGCATAGGCCTGAGGCAGGACCTTCACTCAAGTCTTTCTCACTCCAGGCCTGGGTCCCTGACCACTGTGGTACAATGCATTTCGCTACAGTGATGTCCCAGGGTGCTGGCCACCCAAGCGGAGAGAATAAATATGATTTTTCCTTACCTCTCGGTAGTTAACCAGGACCCAGATTTCCTGACTGCTCAGCCAGGGCTTTGTCTCTGATACCTTATTATGAGGCTGAGCAGGAAAAGATGTAAGAGAAGAGTCAATGGCAGGAGCTAAGCGTATTAGCCTTGCTCTTTATTGACCCTATCTTGCCTTTGCCCATCCTTGTCCTTGCCCTACCCTGTCTGATTGAGCTGCCCCCTCTTCTACCTTCTAGCACACAGCTCATATGAGTTGGGCACTACCTGGCTTCTCCTCTTGACCGCTCTTCTTGGTGACAGCAGCTGAGGGATTTGGAGGCAAAAGTTAGAATAGACTAATGTCACCTCTGATGCAGGGTAAAACGAACTTAAAAAATGAGTACATCTTAGATTCAAAGACATAAGCTGACAGAACAAAAGGGGCTCTGAGTGTTGTGTTTGGACCAAGTGAAAAACAGGACGCATCCTATGGTTTGGAACGTGTGGTTGATGTGGCATTAGCCATATAGATCTAAAATCTAGACTAAGTAAGGGTGTGGTATGTTCTTTGGGCCAGGCACAGCCATGGAGTTTGGTGAGAAGGGGAGGAGGTATCATGTCACACTCATAGATTGTTAGAGCTGGAAAGGACCTTGGTGATCATCTAACAAGCAGAAATATATTTTCAGTGTCCTGAACCACCGCACACCCCACCCCCCCAAGCTTCTGTCTCCAGCCAGTGTAGTTGGGAGTGAGCCATACTGTTGGAGAAGTGACAACAATCCTGCTATGTACCTTGCTCCTCTCCCCTAGGCTAGATTTTAATCTAGCCCTCTCCTTTTATGGAAAACTGACCACACTGTCAACCAAACCTGCAAAAACACTGCATAAATTTAATAACTAAGCGTCTCCACCCTCTCTCCCGTAAAGTTTTCACCAGCATTGGTCATCATCTTCTGCTTAGAGTCTAGGGCCAAATGCCTGACCTTCTCTGCTTAAGTTTGCCACTCAGTCATAAAAAACCCTTAGCCATTTCACCCAGCAGGGGGATGGGAAATTTAAAGTTTGTAAAGTGGATTGAAAATGAACACTTGAGTACTGAGGGATGTTACCACTGGACTTCTCAGCTGTTCTCATACTACGGTTCTGACTCCTCGGCAACAAAAACAACAGTGGAGTAGAGAAATAGGGAATCTCTCACTTCCCCCAAAAGCAACACAGATACATCAAACCAAAGCACATTTAGGCTTCCCAACACCAGATCGTTTGCTAAAGACTGCCTGGGCTGGCTGACCTCAGTGCTTCCCCACCCAAATCTCTTCAACACTTCATTCAGTTCTGATCCCCAGAAGTAGCTGGCAAAGCAGTTCACTAGACTACTCTGAGGAGGCCAGCATACGTGGGTTCAGTATTGAGGAGTAAGACGTTATGTTTTCCTTCCCCCAAGGGCCTCAAGAAGTTACCGGGCATGGATCTGGGAGGATCAGGGGTCAAGGCAGCACATTAAGGGTGTCAGAAAAACCAGGGAAGTGATGCTTCCGAGTTCTGTGGGGGGAACTCGGAAGTGCAGAGACCACAGAATGATGCCAGAACTTGTTGGTTCTCCTTCTAGACCATTAGAGTCACCAATCCGCTGCATATGGCAAATGTTTACCAGTATTGAAAATCCTGCATCAGCAGTCAGAACAACTCAGTTAGGGGTGTCAAAGGACCTTTTTTAGATTTGCCACAGATTTGTAAAGGGCAGCTAGGTGGCACAACGGATAGAGTGCTGGGTCTGGAAGCAGGAAGACCTGAGTTCAAATCCAACCTCAGACACTGTGTGACCCTCAGCAAGTCACTTAACCCTGTTTGCCTCAGTTTCCTCATCTATAAAATGAATTGGAGAAGAAAATGGCAAACAACTCCAGTATCTCTGCCAAGAAAACCCCAGATGGGGTCACAAAGACCTAAAAAACAACCAATTGGTAATGGTGAGATCTTAGCTAACTCATTTCATCATGCCGTAAGCTCAGTGTTAGCTCCTTAAGAGCAGAGAACGTCTCTAACTTGCTTTGTCTGGTGCCTAGCGCAGCCCCTTGCATTCATAAACACTCTAATCTCCAGTAGGTCTGAAACATTGTATGGTTAAGTTATGTTATGCCCATAAATCTTTTGAAATATTAAAAACACCTTTCAAGTTTGCATTTTTCATAGTAATGGAGAGATTCTCATCCTATTGCCACTTGGTTAAGGATTTTAGAGGTGGGAAGGCAGATAATTTAAAAAAAATTTTGAACAAGTTCTTAAACCTTTTTACTAAGCTATCCACTACATTGTTTATAACTAGAAAAGCTACATTTTCCACGGAGAGGCAGCACATGCAAAGTTTCCAACGCAAGCAAAGCTTCTATTATGCTAGATTAGCTGTTCCAGGAACATCACCCTGCTCTACTAAATCACTAAGAAAACCCATGTGAGCCATGTTGTAGGTCCCTTGGGGGAGGGGAATGCTGCTACACTGGCGCCCTCTGCTGGGCTCAACAGTGCTTTACTCTGAGATCAACAAGAACCAGAGCAGGGTTCTTATTGGACAGGGAGAAGGTGTGCAGAGCATTTCAGAGCTTGGGTCTGTGACCTCGTAGGTTCCTTTGAACAAAAGTCCAAAGCACAGGGGACCAAGGAAATCTGACCGGCAATCTTAATGGAAACCCAGGTTTTGTAATAAGAAGAGAGCCAAATGCTAGCAGGCTGAAGGCTGATTTTATAGGAGCTGCCATCAATTTAGACAGAGCCTCATAACCACCCCTACTGTCCCTCCTCTTCCTCCCCACACCCTAGGATGAAGAGGGACCGTGTTCTGCTTTTCTCAATTCGATCTATTCAGTGCTTAGCAAAATGCCAAGAGAGACTGGATATTGAATAAATACAACAAATTATTGTTATCCAGCACGATTGGTAGATAGTGTTGAGATGCCGTGGTTAATAATAGTGAGCTATGTGTACTACAAATATGGATTGCCAGTTTGGGGGAAAGTTCAGTGAAATAAAATACACCTGACAATAAAACCTTGACTGTAATTGAGTCACGAATAACTTACAAAATACTGTATACTCTTGCAGTGCCCCAGGGTTATCATCACAAACAAACAAATAGCATTGTACCAGATAGGGACAGAAATTTCTGGTTGAAAGGTTGCCAAATAAACCACCGTCTGTTGTCCACGCTGATAGATTGAAGTTACCAACTGACTTTTGTCTCCCCCTTCTGGTTCCTTTCAGGTGCATGTCAGAGTTTTTCGTGCAGAGGAGTTAACGGCATGTGCTGGACTGACATCACCCAACTTTGTCCCTTTGTATGGTGCTGTGAAGGAAGGTCCTTGGATCAACATCTTCATGGAGTTGATGGAAGGTGAGAAACAATGACTGAGGCCCTTCCTTCTCCCACAGAGTACATCTCTCTTTGCCTCTCGGAGGTGAGGACTTCTTTCAGCTCCCTCGGTTCTCCCTGCCTCTGGGGGGAATTGCTTTGATTAGCCCCTGATTGTTGCTGCTCTACTCAGGCACTCTTCTGGATGAGCCGCTAAGACCATGATTCATTGGGGGAGAGTCTAGGACGTGTTATTCTTGCACATCACCCTCTAAAGACTAGAACTGTGTTTTTTTCCTTTTAGGTGGCTCACTGGGTCAGCTGATAAAACAGAAGGGCTGCCTACCTGAAGACCGAGCTCTTTATTATTTGGGACAGGCTTTGGAAGGGCTAGAATATCTCCATACACGAAGGATTCTCCATGGAGATGTGAAAGGTGAAATTCACAGTCCTGTCATCCCCGCCTAGAGTAGGTTGTGTTCACAGGACCTTTGGCCACAAGGATGATTAGAGTCTTCCTAGTTTTTTCTTCCTTCCCAATCATCCTCTAGTCCAGAGGTTCTTAATCTGGGGTCTGTGAACTTGTTTTGGTTTTTTTTTTAATATTTTATAACTATTTCAGTGGAATTTGTTTCTTTTGTAATTCCATGGATTTTATTTGATGTATTTAAAAACATTATTCTGAGAAGAAATCCATAGGTTTCACTAGACAGTCAGAGGGGCCTATGACAATCCATCAGTATTTACTTAGGACCTATTATGTGTCAGGCACTGTACTAAGTGTTAGGGATACAAAAAGAAGCAAAAAACAGCCCCTGCCTTCAGGTAACTTGCAATCTAATGGGGTAGACAACATGCAAATAAATATATACAAGCAAGCTACACACAGGATGAATAGGAAAGGATTAACAGAGGGAAGGATATAGAATTATTGACCCCAAAAAGGTTAAGAATCTATTCTCTAGTCAAAGGGAAAATGTTTTCAATGTTCTTGATTCTTGACCATTGTAATTTGTAGTAATTGGTATTGTTGGAGAACTGACAATGGTCATCCTAACATCTACAATTCCAGAACTAGATGTGGGAATGCTGAAAAAGTACTTTAACAAAACAGAATTCTGGAGGCAGTGCCACCAAAAAGGGCATCTTGGGCACCCTTTTCCCCTTCATTCCCTGAAGGCCAGCCTTTCCTTAATGGCACGTGTGTGCCAAACTGACCAGCTCCTCCTGCCCTGGAGAGACTGAAAGTAGCCAGGAGTGGAAAGAATGACAGCGTTAACTGAGCTTTGGGAGGAAAGTTTACAGAGTTTGAATCCAATTCCAGTGTGAGCTGTAACTCTCTCCCATTTATGAGTGATGAAATTAATTAGAAACATCCACAGCTGTTCTGAGTTAGCCAGAACATGGATTCATTGAGGACCAGACCAGGCTAAGTTAGGGATGGCGTGTAAAGCAGCATCACTCCTCTTCCTGATCCTTATCTTCTTCCTCTTGGCTCCCAACAGCTGACAATGTTCTCTTGTCTGGTGATGGCAGCCGGGCACTCCTCTGTGACTTTGGCCATTCCACCAATTTGCAGCCTGATGGCTTGGGAAAGTCCTTTCTTACAGGTAAGGTCTGTCTCCTAGATTCAGAATCTATCAGGGTTCTTGGATTAACCCTATTTTTGTGACCACTAGTTAACCGAGTGGCCAATAGTGTCGACAAAACTACCATTTTGGACTGACATGCTTGAAGACATCTTTCTGTTCACCCAGTCCCTGGATTTTAAAATGTATTGATTTTGACTGGAGAAAAAACAAACTGTTAGTTATATCTGATCCTTTCTTGTTGAGAAAGTCATGTTGGGGATTCTAAGTATAAATTTATTTTCATTGTCTGACCCCTACACAGACCCACACCCTTAAAAAAGCACATTAAAGATGAAGCTTAGTACAGAAGTCAAGGACCATCATAGACACAATTTTACCAGTCCCTAGAACAGATTGTACTGTACATGTTTTCACCAATTTGTTTCATCGACTGAATTTCATTTGGAAGATTTGTATCTTTAAAGTTCCTTTACAAAGTGACTTTAGAAGGAGCCATGAGAGATCAGTGGGTGGTTATCCCTCAGCCTCCTGCTTGCTACAATTCCAAGAAATGTTTTTACCTTTGTTTTCGCAGGGAACTACATCCCTGGCACAGAGACCCACATGGCTCCAGAAGTGGTGATGGGAAGACGCTGTGACTCAAAGGTAGACATCTGGAGCAGCTGCTGCATGATGCTGCACATGCTCAATGGGCGTCACCCTTGGACCCAGTATTATAGTCGGCCTCTTTGCCTCAAGGTGAGTGATGATAGCGTATCCAGGAGTTGCCTGGATGGGTCAGGGATTCCCCTACCACCACACCCATGTGCCCTGATGGGCTCAAGTCTCAAGGGCAGCCAGCCTCCTGCTGTCTGACCCTTGCTACCCCCACCTAATGTTGTTCTCCTTTTTGGTAGAGTCTCTAAGCCAGGCCATTGCTTGTACCTTCAAGATCTCAGGCTAGAGCCTAATCTTTGACATTTTGACTCCAAAACAGAGTACTTAGTAGGAAGAGAAAATGGAATATAGAGGATTTATATCTCAAGGCAAAGGCCACCCACTCTTCTTTCTGGATCTCACAGATTGCCAACGAGCCACCACCTGTGAGAGAGATTCCGCCCTCTTGTACCCCTTTTACTGCTCAAGCCATCCAGGAGGGACTGGAGAAGGAGCCTGTCCAGAGGGCATCTGCCACAGAGCTAAGGAGGAAGATCTGTTTGGCATTGCAGCATGGTAAGGAACTTAGTACTGCTTCTCCGACTGAACTATTACCTCCCCAAGTCAGGGGGCCTCTGAGATCCATTTGACAAAACAGACAGGATTCCCGAACTGTGCTGTTGACCTAGTCCACACGTATAGCATCCTATGGGCCCACCCCTCCTGGGGAGCACTAACTGGGTACAAGGGAGCTTCTGGAGCAAGGAAACACTGGTTTACTCTTGGAATCTAAAATCGGGTCCCGGGAGTGCTTCCATTGCAGGGAAATTGTCTTCTCTAGTCCCTGGTTTCAGAATCTTCCCTTTGCTATTAACTGAGACCTTCTTCCTTATCTGTTTTGCAGCTTCTTAATCATATAGTTACCAGTATAGAAGTAGAATAAAGGGAATGGACGGTAATCATGACCAGATGGATTTATGTCTCTGAAGCATCCCCCAAACTCAGGAAACCTTCCCATTCCCTTCCCTAGGAGTCTGTCTTTGTCTCTTCATTAGCCTGTTCACTAGCTCACCCAACATGAAACTTCCTTATCGATATCCCATTTCCAGGCACCTCAGGACCCATAGAAAAATCGATGTGGTACAAACAGCATCTGTCCTCCCTAAAATGTTTAACCTGTGTATCCTTTGTGTTTTGTAGTGGGAGGTTTGAAAAGTCCTTGGAGAGGACAATATAAGGAACCAAGACAGTTGCCTTCAGACAAAGAGAATAGTCTAGAAATACTGGCATCCTTGTCTTTGCCAAGTGGGCCCATCCCAGAGGCTCTAGGGCCTGGGCTGGCCATTGAGGCAGTGGGTTTCACCACCAAACTTCAGCCACCTTTACCACCGGAGCCACCAGAGCAAAATAAGTTGTTGCCCCTGAGGCTGAGCCAGGAGGAGTCTGGGACCTGGGAGCCTCTGCCCCTTTCTTCCCTGGGCCACGTCCCCACCAGGAGCTGCAGTTCAGGGGAGCGAAAATCAACCTCTTCAGATGAGGAACTTCAGCAGCTTGAGATAGGTAATGAAATTCTCTGGAAACAATCTAGGCCTGGTCACTAAGAGCACCTGCTTTTGTGGTGACCTGTTCTTCCTTCTTCAGCTTTGTGTTTTGTGGGTTCTTTTCTGCAGCGAGACTCCCTGCTTTGCCTTGAGCCCCTCTGTTCTCTGTAGCCGAGTCCTTCCCAGGGTGGGGGAGTCCATCCACCGCTGGTGTTTTATAGCTTGTCCTGTTTTTTCTTGCAGAGTTATTTCTGAACAGCCTGTCTCAGCCATACTCCCTAGAGGAACAGGAGCAAATGCTGTCATGTCTCAGCATTGACAGTCTCTCCCTGTCTGATGCTGGCGAGAAGGTAAATACCTCATCTCCCAAGGACAGCTCTGGGGGTGCTGATTACACACACAGTCTGTATCTCCACAGGATGGGTTCATATTGGGAAACTCGGTGGTTGATACTTGTAGGGGCTGGCGAATGGCCTGTGTCTGTGTGAGTAGAGGAAAAAGCAAGCAGATTCCCTTGCCTCAGCTTTGTCCACCTCTTTTCCTTTAGTAATCAGACGACAGCATCTCATAGGGAGACTTTTTTCTTTTTTTTAAAATTAATTTAATTAACTTATTTTGATTTATCAACAATCACTCCCACATGCTTTTGAGTTTAAAATTTTTCTCCCCCTTCCTCCCCCACCACCCTCCCCAAGATGGCACACAATCTGATATAGGCTATACATTTACATTCCTATTAAACATATTTTCACATTAGTGAGGTTGTAAGTAAAAATTAAAACCAGTAGGAGGAACCGTCAGAAAGAGGAAACAAAACTCAACAGAAAAAAAAAAAGATAGAGATTCAGCTTCCGTAGTTCTTTCTTTGAATGTGGATAGCATTTTCCATCACTAGGTCTCTGGAGATTTCCCCATTCAGTTTTCTCCAGAGGTCTATCATACCTAACTTTTCTAATGTTAACAACATATTGTAGGATGATGGTTTTTAATCCGTTCTGCTATCCGCTTCCGTTTTATGGGAGAGTTCATCCCATTCACATTCACAGTTATGATTACTATCTGTGTCTTTTTCTTCATCCTTTTTTCCCCGTTTATGCTTTTCTTTCTCCTTTCCCCACCTCAATAGTGTTTTGCTTTTGACCACTGCTCCCTTCAGTCTCTCCTCCCTTCTATTATCCCTTTCCCTTTTCTTCCCTTTTACCCTTACTGTTTCTTCCCTCCCTTTTATCCCCTCCCCCCTTTTTCTTTCCCCTTTTCCTTCCTACTGCCTGTTGGACAAGTTAGATTTCTATACCTAACTGATTATGTTATTCCCTTCTTGAGCCAAATCTGATGAGAGTAAGGTTCAAACAATGCTCACCCCCTCCCTTCTTTCCCTCTGCTGTAATAGGATTTTCTGTCTTTTCCTGTAATGTAATTTACCCTTGTCTGCCTCCTCCTTTCTCAGTACATTTTCTAAGATCAGACTAATCCACTTACTTGGATCCATTTAACCCACTTGATTAGATTTTTTTTTATCATTACATCAAAGTCAACTAATATCCACCCCTTTATGTATATCCTTTAACATGGTGTAATAACAATACAGTTCTCAAGAGTTGCAAGTGTCATCTTCCCTTGTAGGGATGTAAACAGTCCGCCCTTATTAACAACATATTGTATCTTTCTGTCCCATTTACCTTTTTATGTCTTTCTTGAATCTTGTACTTGAAGATCAAATTTTTTGTTGAGCTCTGGTCTTTTTATCAGGAAGTTTGGAAGTCCCTATTTTGAATATCCATCTCCTCCCTTGAAAAATGCTCATTTTTGCTGGGTAGTTGATCCTTGGCTGCATCCAAGCTCCTTTGCCTTAGGAATATCATGTTCCATGCCCTGTGGTCTTTTAATGTAGAAGCTGCAAGGTCCTGTGTAATCCTGACTGTGGTTCCATGATATTTAAATTGTTTCTTTCTGGCTGCTTGCAGCACCTTCTCTTTCATCTGGTAATTTTGGAATTTTGCTATTATATTCCTTGGCTTGTCAATTTGGGATCTCTTTCAGGTGGTGAGCGGTGTATTCTTTCTGTGGTTATTTTCCCTTCTGGTTCTAGGACTTCAGGGCAGTTTTCCTTTTTGATTTCCTGAAAGATACTGTCCAGGCTCTTTTTTTCATCATGATTTTCAGGTAGTCCAATAATTTTTACATTGTCTCTCCTGAATCGATTTTCCAGATCCGTTGTTTTACTGATGAGGTATTTTATGTTTTCATCTATTTTTTCATTTTTTTGTTTCTGTTTGACTGATTCTTGCTCTGTCATAGAGTCATTAGTTTCCATTTGTCCAATTCTAGTTTTTAACAGATTGTTTTCTTCTGTTAGTTTTTGTACTTCCTTCTTCATTTGGCCAATTGTATTTTTAAGGGATTTGTTTTCTTCAGTGTACTTTTTTTTCCAGTTTGCCAATTGTGTTTTTTAGGGACTTGTTTTCTTCAGTGTATTTTTTTTCCAATTGGCCAATTGTATTTTTTAAGAACTCTTCTACCTCTCTCATTAGACTTTTAAAATCCTTCTTGAGCTCTTCTAAGAAGGCTTTTTGGGCTTCAGACCAGTTCATATTCCCTTTTGATATTGCAGATGTGGGTTTGTTGACAATGTTGTCCTCTTCAGAATTTCTGTCTTGATCTTCACTCTTCTCATAATGTGAATCTATGGCACGTTTCTTTGTACTCATGGTTTCTTTATTCCCTGGCCTTTAAAGAGATTGAGCTCTCCTGCTGGGGAGCAGAAGGCTGACCCAGGCTTCTTGTGTTGGGAGCCTAGGTCTTGGTCACAGGCTTTGTGTGCTGGGGTGTCTTATGTTGGCACTTGGAGGCTGTAGGGTTTTGGCAGCTTACCTTGTGTTGGGCTGGAATCAGCAAGGCTGGAACTTCCAGGCAATTCTAGGTTGCCTGCTTTTCCTTTACTTTAGCTTTCTTCAGATCCTTTTAGATGGCTGCTGCAGGATGTTTATCTGCCTGGGGCCCCTTGCAATGCTGCCTCCCTCGTTTCTGCTAAAGCACTGGGAGATTCCTTTGAGGTAGAGTGCCAAGGCACCTGGTGGTTTTCTGAGCTGGTTTCCACCATTTCCCCTGCCTGTCACTAGGCACTCAGAGGTCCAGATGTTGGTGTTTGCCTGCTCTACCACCTGGGCTTCAGGATCTCCTCCTGGTTGACAGTTGGAGGCTGTAGGGGTCTGACAGCTTACCTGGTGTTGGGTTGGAATCAGCAAGGCTGGGACTTTAGGAAGACTCTAGGTTGCTTTCTTCAGCTCCTTTCAGATGAATGCTGCGGGGTACTTATCCGCTGGGGCCCTTTGTAGTGCTGCTTCCCTTATTTCTGCTGAGGCACTAGGAGACCCGTTTGCTGGGGTGCTGCACTGCTGTTCCCAACTTTCTTCTAGTTCAGCTGTTCCAGGGTTGTTTTTTTCTGGGGTGATATTTTCTGGGTTTCCAGAGGTTGATAGGGGAGGGTGAGAGCAACTACCTTTTTACTCCACCATCTTGGCTGCCGGAATCCAGGGAGACTTTTTAATGGAGAAGACAGTCTAGCTTCAGCTGATATAGAAGTGGGTCTAAATAACCGAGGGACATGGCAGAATTAATTGGCATATTGGCACTCATTCAAATGATTTGCTTTCCCTTTGTGGTAGGCCCTTCATGAGCCGCTGCTCAAATCCCTTAAGATTGTAAGAGTGTCAACCTGGACCAATGATCTTATCTGGAATTTTAACTGTTTTTCTACCAATTTTAGAAGGAAGGTGGCACCTTTCCCCAAAATGTGACCAACAGGAAATTAGCCTCAGCCCTGGGTTGGAATTGCACAACTGGGAATAAGCAGCTGACTTTGTCCCCTTTTGATTTCAGAACCTGTCCAAGGTTTCTCAGAGCTTACGTGAGAACTTCAGCTCTGGAATCCACTCGTGGAACAGTCAGGCAGATGGGCAGAGTTTCAGCTGGAACAACCTACTGGGGCGAAGCCGGCACACAGACATGCCCAGCTATTTCAATGGTAGGATCAGTTGCCCACCTAGCTCAGGCTCCCCTGGCCCTATATATGTAGAACAACATTCAGTCTGTACAAGAACATTAAGTTGTTCATTTTTTCTTCTCCGTTAGCTCATACCAGGAGGAATTTTCAGAATTTGAATCACCTATTCAGCAAATAGGGTCTTAGATGAAAGTCCTTCTCCATCTATGGCTTTTTCCAGCAGGGCAGTGGGGAAAATCTTGTCCTCAACATTTTCTGACTTCTGGACTTTTTAGGGTATTGGAAGGACCCTATGTGACTTAGATAAGCAGACAATGTCTTCCACCCTAGAAGGGAGCCAAAAATAGAAAACAAATTCATTTTATCAACTAAATGGGAAGAAGAGAAAACAAGCCTCTTGGGATGTGTCAACCCAGAACTCAGTCATTCCTCTGTGGCTGCCGTAATCCAGGGCACTCTAGGTTGTGCCTTGGCCCTGGAATCCTCAGGGTGATGATGCCAGACCACGGAGGAAGGGCAGGAGAAAATGGCCTCATTTTGAAACTTGGCTCACAAGCCTGGTTTTGTGGCTTTGCAAATAGACTCAGAAGCTCCCATCATCACATCAAAAATTTCCCCAGCCCTTCCTGGTTACTAGTGCCATATTGATGGTCAAATAAGGCTCCAGTACATTGAGTTGTATTTTTAAATTCTTAGTTGCCCACAAGCTGATTAATAGCTGTTGGGTTGGTTTTGGTTTTTGTTTTTAACAGCCATGCTAACCTGCATCAAAATTCTGTGTCTGTAACACCCAAAAAGCCAGTTGCGGCCCTTCACAATTTGAGAGCCGTATATCAGAAGAAAACTTCTGGGGGGAAAATGGTCACATAGCTTTAGGCATAATCTCTTCAATTTTCTTCTATGACAAAAGATAAATTTCCTCTTTCCTTCAGAGGAGTGGGGCCCATAGGTAATTACAAAGTAACCTTGACAGAAGGCTCAAACCTATCCCCCCACCACTGTCCCCCAGCTTTAAGGATCCCACTGTCTTGGGTCTTCTCTCCTGCTCATGGTCACACCTGTCTTTCAGGTGTGAAAATCCAAATCCAGTCTCTAAATGGTGAGCACCTGCATATACGAGAGTTCCACCGAGCCAAGGTGGGAGACATCGCCACAGGAATCAGCAGCCAGGTAAGATAGCAGAGACCACCTCAGGAAGTAGGGTCATAAATCTGAAGAAGTAGGAGCCCCACAAAGTAACTGGCCCAGGAAAGTATAGGAGGATAGACCCAGGGCTTCCTGAGCTTAATGACAGCAAGAGGAATGCCATACTTATTGTAAAGAAAAGCCTTGCTTCACAAGAGTTTTTGATTCTTAGTGGTGGCATAACATAGCTTGGCTTGCTTTGACTACTGAATTCCCCTTCTGAGCCTGCTCTGTCCTGTACTCCAATTCCCAGATCCCTGCCTCTGCATTCAGCCTGGTGACCAAGGATGGGCAGCCTGTACACTATGACATGGAGGTACCTGACTCGGGCATCGACCTTCAGTGCACCCTGGCTCCCGACTGCAGCTTCAGTTGGACCTGGAGAGTCAAGCATGGTCAGCTGGAGAATAGGCCCTAGCCTGCCTCCCTTCAAGCCCCAGAGCTTGGGATCCTAGAAATCAGCCTTGGAGGTCCTAGAATAAGTACCAGCTTTTGCTTCTACCCGAAGAGAACAAGTGGACTTGGCCTTCTCCAAGAGATTTGGCATCTGGCAGTAGGGAAGAAAGTTGGAAACCAGAAAGCTAGGACTTGGAAACTTGTGATGGTCCACCCAGCAATCCACCAGTATGATGGAGAAGTGGGGAGGGGGGGTTGTTTGTGTTTGTGTGTGTGTGTGTGTGTGTGTGTGTGTGTGTGTGTGTGTGTGTAGTCATCTTGAGTCCTGACTAAAATAAACTGGTACGGGCCTTGCTGTGTGTGGAGGAGGAAGACATTTAAAATCTTCCTTCCTAGGAATAGAAAGGAGTTCCCTCTCTTGGCAGAGAAAAGATGGTGTGGCATGTTCAGCAGCAGTGAATCACCTTACAGCAATAGGGAGAGAACAGCTTTGAATCTGGAGTTGAAGGGAAATGTGGGACAGCCACTTTGCCCTGCTTTCCTCCAGCAGGTAGGTGTGAACAGGATGACTTTCTGGAAGGTGCTTACCTGTTTCCAGTTACAGGAACTGATGAGGAGGATGGGGTGCTTCCTTTAGTTAATGAGGAGGCTGAGGCGTTCCAATGTTTGCTCCCCTCTGGCTGGGCTGCATTCCACCTGCTCACCTTCATGCTGTAATTAGGACCTTGATACAAAGTCTTCTCTGGCTCTCTTCCTATTTAAAATGAGAGACTTTCAAATGCGAAGAAAAAATTCCGTAAAGGCATAAATCTCCCGTTACAATTCTCTTCTCCTTTTTTTTGGGGGGGGGGAGGAGGCATATATATCTGAGAAGGTATTTGTGTGACATGAATCTTGATAGAAGCAAGTTTGTCTGAACCCCACAATGCCTAATGCATGTTTTCTATACTATGGGCAGGTGGTAAACGGCCTATTCAAGTCAGGCTGACTAGAGCTTCTGGTCACAACATGTTTGAGAAGTCCTTTACTGTCCCCGGTAGAGGAGTTAGCAGCAGACTGTTTCAGAGTTCTCTTCATAGACAGCTGAATTGGGACTGACTAGGCATGGGGAGAGAAGCATGTTTTATTCCCAGCTCTACCAATGCTTCTGGGACCTTAGGCACACAGCTCTCCCTTAGTTTTCTCATATGTAAAAGTGGTTGCAGGAATCCTTCGTTTCTAAGGATGTGATGATAAAGTGAGATAATCGATATGAAAGCACTTTGCGAAGTGCAGTACCCCCCAAAATGCCAGCTCTTATTAGTTCTAACTGCCACGTCCAGCCAGACCAGAACCTCAGCCCCTTGATTTCATTCACGTGTCAAGTGTCCCACTCAGCAGGGATCCAGTGGGGCAGATCGAGGTACTGAGGCGCCTTTGCCAGCATGGGCCAACAGAGGAGTCCCCATCCGCGTCCCTGCTGAGCACTGACAGCAGCACTTTGGGTCCTCGTGCAGCTTCTTTTCTCAAAGCACTTTGGCAGCTTTGCTGCCCCCTTTGAGGGCAAGTCAGTCTCCTTGTGTCCTCCACCTTTTATTTTTACACATAAGCAGATGATTGTCAAATCTGAGAAGACAGAACTCACAGATTCCCCACCTGCCTGGGAGAGGGGCTGAAAGGACTTTAGTCTTTGTCAGGGGCAGAGCAAGGCCTAAGCACTGACCTCCTGGCTCCTGCCTCCTTCCCATTCTGATCACTGTACCCTCGCCGTGTAGCATTAAGCCAACTGTGAACTGTTTACGTTTAGGAGGAGGGACAGTCGTGACACCACCAGCCCCATAGCTAATCTGGGATGGGAGTCTTCTTGCCCTGGCCTCCTCCCTTGGGTCTTTCGTTATATAGATGGGTCCATCAAAGGATACCGAGCCCCCTCCAAAGGCTGTGGCGTGGCTGTGTTCCCACCAGAACTTTCCATGTCATCATGGGCATAGGAGTCGAGGTGAATCAAGTTTAGGGGTCTGAGAGCCCCAAAGCCTGACGGGTGGATTGGATGAGCAGCAGCGTGTTCCAGTGGAAAGTTTGGAGTCAGACGACCTCTTTTCAAATCCTGTCTTTGCCCCTTGTATGACCCTGTGCAAGTCCCTTAGGCTCTCTGACCTTCGGCTTCCTCATCTGTAAAGAGGAAGTTGGACTAAAAGACAGCCTAAGGTCCCTTCCAGGTCTAAATCTGTGGTCCAGACATGTGAAGGACATCTTAAGGTCCCTTAAGATGGTTGCTCCAAGTGTGGGGGGAGCAGAAGCACATTGTGAGGGCCCAGATTTCTCCAGTCATTCCACCTGAGAGCAGCCACTGAGAACCCTGAATGCCAATAGACACTTGGGGTGGAGCCACAGCTGCCCAGTCAAGGACAGATGTTTCACCAAACACTGGAGAATGAGTCCCTCCTTGCACCACCATCAGTACCAACAAAGATGGACTGATTTTGCGAGTTGGATTGTAAATGTTGCCTTTTTTAAAAAAAAAATAAAGTTTGGAATGATGATTATTTTCCTAAACAAGTGTGTCTCCTCTTCTATTGTACATGAGGCCTTGTTGCTCCTCTTGGCAGCTGACCTGAAGCCTCCTTTGACCTTTGGGTGGAGTCTTTCTAGCCTATTCCCTGATTTCATGCGAGGGCTGTTTTCAGAGGCTTTAGGTTGTGCCCTCCCCAACTTCTACAACAGAGTGGAGAGGTCCATGCACGCAAACCAAGCCAGGTGCTCCACCCATCAGCAGGGAAGTCCCTGGACACCATCCAAAACCAGACAGGGAGGAGAGGGGGCTGGCATGAGACCAGCACACCTAGTGGCTTAATGACTGGCCCTCTCAACCAAACTGAGCCCAGTCCTGAGCATCCAGGATTAAGGAAGTGCTGGAGTGGATAAGAAAGGGCTGCAGAACACACCTCCCAACACAGATTTCCCACCTCTGCAGCCACCCATCAGAGGAAAACTGGCAGAGGCCCAGAGTCCTTGAGTGAGCTAGCTGTACGTCTTAAAGCTGGGAGTCAACCACCTGTGCCTCAATTCCTGTTAGCCTGAGGACGCCCCCCCCCCAGGTAGGCAGTAGGTAGAATGCCTGAAACCACTGGACTAGCAGAATGGCCTCGAGGACCTGAGTTCTCTTGGTCAATTGGGTCAATGGAAGATGAACTTAAGGTGAGTCTGAGACCCTTAAAACACCAAGTGGATGAGTGAGGATCCTGCTCCCCAGGCTTCAAGATTTATCCAATATTGGAGAGAGTGTTATGGGGGGCAGAGTGCTGGACCTGGAGTCAGGAAGACGTGGGTTCAAATTCTCTCTGAGACCCTAGCTGTGTGACAGTGAGCAACGTGAGATGTTTGGGCAGCTCTGTATTTGTGTGTTCACTCTCCTTCCTTCCAATATGGCTAGAGCCGATGAGGGCAGCATTTGGGGGTCCTGGAGTCAAGGGTACATTGAGGTGTGTGTAGGGGGGAAACATATTTAACCCTGTCTTTGTCCTTCAAATGACTGACTCCCTTAGGAAATGAAGCAGCTGGGTATGCAGGGACCCTGCCAGGCTGGCTTTTGTCCTTTGAGCAAAATAGCTAAAGCCTACACAAGCGGGCAGTCCTCTCTCTCTCTGTCTCTCTCTCTCTCTCTCTCTCTCTCTCTCTCTCTCTCTCTCTCTCTCTCTCTCTCTCTCCGCGCTCACACACACACACACACACACACACACACACACACCACACACACACACACACACACACACACACACACAACACCCTTGTTTCCTGTCCACAGAGACTGAAACCATCTAGGATGGTCATAGGGGATGGGGGCAGGAACAGAAATGCTACAGTGCAGCAGCCCATCTACAGTACTATGGAAACAATGGAGGGAGAATCGGGAGACTTTTCCATGTGTAAGGTTAGCATGGGGTGCACTAGTCTTGCCAGACAGTCACCCACTTGGTGCCAAATAAAGTCAGACAAGGGACAGGACAAGTGGAAGGAAAAGTGGAGGACATTTCCATATGCAAAAGTAGGGAAAGGGGAAGTAAAAGAGCTTGTGCGTGGAGAAATAATAGCATTTATATAGCTCTTTAAGGTTTACAAAGCACTTACTGTGTCTCCTTTGACACAACCTTGGGAGAGAAGTGCTGTTATCCCCATTTTACAGATGAGGAAAGAAGCTGAGGTTAAATGACTTGCCTAAGGTCACATAGGAGTAGCTAGGTGGCGCCATAGTGCACAGAGTCTGCCAGGCCTGGGAAGACGCATCTTCCTGGTGTTCAAATCCAGCCTGACACTTGCTAGTTGTGTGACCCTGGGCAAGTCACTTTACTCTGCCTCATTTTCCTCATCTGTCAGATGAGCTAGAGAAGGAAATGGCAAACCACTCTAGTATCTTTGCCAAGAAAATCCCAAATGGGGTCCCTGAAAGAGTCGGTCACACAGGTGATGAGGCAGAATCAAGAGGATTTGATTTGCCCAAGGTCACACAGCTAGTGTCTGAGGCAGGATTAGAGTAGGGTTCAGTACTGTTACAATACTATCCACCACACCACTTAGCTGCCCCTAAGGTGTGAAAGGCTAGCCCAGCCAAAACCAGGCTTAATTTCACCTTCCGAAGCCCTGAGTTGGTAGCTGTCTGTCGGGGTACTTTGAGATCCTAGAAGAAAATACAGACGCTGGGAGCGGTCTAGTGTGTGGGACCAAGCACCCCAGGGAGCTAGCCTCCCCTAGCAGTATTTTCTTGTGAGGAGAGGCATGCATCCACCCTAGAGCCAGAAAGGCTGAGGCTGGGAAGGAGAAAGTTGAACAGGTCTGGGGCAGCCTCAGGGCGCCTTTATCTCCTTCTTTCCCTGCCTGTCACCCCTCCATCCAAGCATCCTCCTCCTCCGGCTGCCCTTCTGCTCCTTTTCTGCTCCTCCTCCTCTTCTGCTTCTCTTCTCTTCTTCCTCTTCTCCTCTTCTCTTCCGCCTCCTCTTCCTCCTCTTTCTCCTCTTCTGCTCCTCCTCTTTTCCTCTTCTGCTCTTTCTCCTCTTCCTCTTCCTCCTCCTCTTCTCTTCCTCCTCCTCTTCTCTTCCTCCTCCTCCTCTTCTTCTGCTCTTCCTCCTCCTCCTCCTCCTCTTCCTCTTCCTCCTCCTTCTCCCCCTCTCCTCCTCCTCCTCCTCTTCTCTTCCTCCTCCTCTTCTCTTCCTCCTCCTCTTCCTCTGCTCTTCCTCCTTCCCCTCCTCTTCTCCTCCTCTTCTCTTCCTCTTCCTCCTCCTTTGCTCTTTCTCCTCCTTCTCCCCCTCCTCTTCTCCTCCCCCTCTTCTCCTCCTCCTCTGCTCTTCCTCCTCCTCTGCTCTTCCTCCTCCTCCTCCTCTCTTTCTCTTCGTCCTCCTTTGCTCTTTCTCCTCTTTCTCCCCCTTCTCTTCTCCTCCCCCTTCTGTTCTCCTCCCCCTCCTCTTCTCCTCCTCCTCTGCTCTTCCTCCTCCTCCTCTTCTCCTCCTCCTCCTCCTCTGCTCTTCCTCCTCCTCCCAAGCAAGTTCGGCCGGGGTTCGCTCCCTCCATCCCAAGGCGCGGAGCGCAGCGAGGGCCGGGCCCCCTACGTCCCTACCTCCTTTTGCCTCTTTCCACCGCAGGCCCCAGCCACCCGTGTGACGTCACAGTGAGCCGTGACGCCACAGGCTCCCCGCCGCTGCCCTCAGAGGGGAGGAGCGGCGGGGATTCAAAGACCGCGCTGGAAGCGGAGGGGCAAGCAGCAGCCACCAGCCCATTCCCCGATTCGGGGCAGGCACTGGAGTCAGCATGGGGGTGACAGGTGCGAGAAGGAGGGGCGCCGAGGCAAGGGCAAGGGAAGTGGGTACCGAGGGCTCTAGCCAGGGGGTCAGGACCGCAAAGACGTCCCCCGAGTGCAGGGTTAGAAGCGAAAGGACCATCCCGGAGTTAGAGCTGGGAAGACCCTTAGATAGATGGACACAGGCCATTGAGTCCGGCCTTTCAAACTCTCATTTTTTGTTTTTTACTGTGGCACAGAGAGGTTACTTGATTTACCCATAGTCACACAGATATTAAAGCTTCTGAGGTGACATTTGAACTCAGATCTTCCTGATTTTTAAGTCCAGATCTCTATCCACTATTCCACGCGTCCTTTAGGAAGGGAGCAAAGCAAAGAAAGAGGAAGACCCAGGAAGAAACACCCCAGGCCATCAGCTCTGTCCTCACACACTTGGGACCCTCAGGCGACCCTTTTAGTCTCCATCTGAGCCCAACTCGCTGTCACTGCAGATCTTACCCCTCCTCCAATGATGAAAGGTCAATTAGCGAACCCATCCCAGTCCCCCTCCCCTCCTGGAGCGTCTGCATTGGTCACCAAATGCCCTTTCAAAGCCCCAGTGAAATACACCTCCATCTCCATCACCTATAATTGTCTCTCCTAAACTCTGTGGAGGACTGGGTTATCTAGGAAACCCTGACACAAAACATGCAAACCAGAAGCTATTCCAAAAGGGACCTCTGAGAGGTCAGAGCTGGCTTTAGATAGAGCCGAGAAAGACCTTGGGCAAATCTCTTAAATTCTCTGTGTTCTAGGAAGCTCTCTAATAGTAAAGAAGGTACCAACCAGCATCACTAGAGTTTCCTCAATGGACCGATAAAATCACAAGAGTCCATTGCCTAATCCCGTGATTTCTGTTGTTGTTGTGGGAGGTATGCATGTTTCTTCACGATCTCTACTACTACCATCTCCAGTCTAGCGGGACTATGGTTGGCCCCTTCTTTCTCTTCCTTCCAACCCCACACCCCCCTCAACTGCCTCCACCACCAAAAATCAGGTTCATTTGCATGAAGAAACCACAGAAATCAGAGGGACTAGGAGTCCCTCTTCCCTCCTCACCCAAAGACTAGGATACAGTCACACACTAGAGGCATGTGACATTTCTAAAGATCTGGTGCCCAAGCATCCTGATGCCTGGCCCCTGGTCTCTGATCTCCTATTCTCCTGACTCAGTCCCATTTTGGTCCTAGAGAGTTCCTAGAAACCAGCCTCACTCTTTGTGTGATATTATCTAAAATTATTATTTGTAAAATGCTTAACACAGTGTCTGACACATACATAATAGAGGCTTAATAAATGCTTGTTCACTTTCCTCTCCATAGCCCTTAGCCAACCTGACCATTCAATCAGAGAAGGCAACTTCCATTAACCCAGGATGGCCTTTCAGCCTTGGGGGTAAAATCCAGCCCTGCCTTCCATGGCCTCCTAGCTGATCCCACTGTCTTTTTGGTTTTTTGGTTAGGCAATGGGGTTAAGTGACTTATCATCCATGGCTAGTAAGTGTTATGTGTCTGAGGCTGGATTTGAACTCAGGTCCTCCTGAATCCAGCTCTGGAGCTCTATCCACTTCACCACCTAGCTGCCCCACCACTGTCTTTTGATAACTATGGAGGAGGGAAGAAGTTTTGCAGAATTCACCACCACCACCACCATGGGATGGAGAGTTTCTCGTACAAAAAATTTACAAACCTTAGGGGAAAGAATAATGTATTTGGGTCTCCCCTTGCTCAGGGATCATTCTTTCCCCAAGATTTGATTTTTGCCTTTGAAGATCTCATACATTTATCTTATCCCCTCCCCCACCCATACATACATATATATATGTGTGTGTGTATATATATATATATATATATATATATATGTATATGTATATATATATATACACACACACACACACACACACACACACACACACATCTAGTATAGACTGTTAGACATCTTTCCAGATCAAGTAACTAGAGTTAGGGTTCTGGGATTGGGTAATGTCAGGACAACGAAGGGGAGAAGGATGAACATGGGGCTGGGAAGAAACCTTGGGCTGGGGAAGGAAAACGAGTGGAGGAGAGAGGCCTGGATTGAGATCATTAAAAGGTTGTAAAAACCTTCCAGTGGTTCTGCAGGTGTCATTAGTGTGGAAGAGCCTAGAGAAAGTGAGAGAAAGACAGAGACAGAGAGAGACAGAGACAGAGAGACAGAGACAGAGAGAGACAGAGAGAGAAGATGGGAAATGTTCAGATTCATTTGGGAGAAAAAGACATGCTTACAACAGTGGTTCTTAATTAACTTAGGAACCTTGAACTTTGATAACTATATTTTAATGTGATTGGTTTCTTTGGTTAATCCTATATATTTTATTTGATGCATTTGAAAACATTATCCTGAGGAGTTTCATAGGCATTACCAGACTGCCAAATTCAGAAAAGTATTTTAAGGTTAAAAACTTCTCTAAGCCTGAGAGTGTAATATGAGGCCCTAAAGTGGGCAAAGACTTCTATAAGTTTGAGAGGGAGGGATGTATATATTATACAATACAGTAAAAGGGATAATTGATGGAGTGGATAAACCCCTTAAAGATATCAAGCTGAGAGGCAGACAGAGATGGAGTAACTAGGAATGAGATGGACATGGAAGATGGATTTGATGGAGGGAGAAAGAATAGGAGATAGGATGAAATGGGGTCAATGAGTAGAGATGAGAGGCAGAAAAGGATAGAGAGAGTAATAAAACAGAGACCAAAAATGGGGTGAAGGGTGGGAAATGGGTTTGAGATGAGAGTCGGGAGTGATAGGTTTGAGCCTGATAGAAGGTTAAAAGATAAGGGAGCAGCTGTGCCGCCTTCTTAGAAGCATTCTGCAATGGACTTTTCACATCTTCCCCATTTTTAACTAGGTGGCAATGGATTTCCTTGCTGTAGTAAGAAGTCTGTGGAGGTCGTGGAAACACAGTGAGGCCCAGACCCATACCTAACCTCTATTATTCCTCACTGCTCCACCCCCTACCCACATCACCTGCCATCCCACTGTCCCGCCCTATTTCCCCACACTGCTCCTTCCCCCCTCCTCATTCCACTCCCCCCACACCACTCCAGAAATTTGAACCTGACCACTTGGGGGAGGGGGGAAGAAGAGAAAAAAAGGGCACGCCCCTCCCCAAGCCTTCTCCTCCATCCCTTCGGTGATTATCGGAAGCTTCCCAGGAGACTAGGAACTCAAGGCTAGAAAGCCAAAACCCCATTTTGCTCTTAATAGGAGGATCCTGAAAGGGAAAGGGAATGATGGGGACCAACTCCACAGCCTCCCCTTCTATGATGAGTATAGATGTGCTGAGCACACATCTGCATTCACTTCAGGGGTAACTTGCCAGTACCCCCCTGACTTCTCCTACAAGGAGGACCTCAAGACCAAGTCCTTTGGGAGCTATAACGCTCTAAGCCAGCAAGGGTCAGATTTCAGGAGGGTCGCAGAGGAGGAGTTGGAGGAGGAGGACTTGGAGGAGGACTTGGAGGAGGAGTTGGAGGAGGAGGAATTGGAGGAGGAGTTGGAGGAGGAGGAATTGGAGGAGGAATTGGAGGAGGAGGAGGAGGAGGAGGGGGGTAACAAAGAAGAGAGCCGCACAGCTCCAAACAAGTCTTTGGTGGTGGCAGTGGCGGTGGCAAACTGGGGCACAAAAGCAGGGTGAGCTAAAGAAGTCTCCTCATCCTGCCTTCCGCCCACCCCGAGCACACCTGCTCCCTCCCTTTTAGGCTGTCAGACCTGTCGAGGGGTCCCCAGTGGGAAGTGGGCTTGGCGGGGCAGGGTGGGTTACAAAAGCTGATGAGTCTCATCTCATTGCTACCTTCTCCTTGATGAGTCAGACCCAGAACTTACGGGGTCAATCACTCCCCCTCCCACCCAGGCAGCCAGGGTAGGTTCCTTTCAATGTAGGATGTCAGATCTCTCCCCAGCCTCCTGGCAAGTGGCAGAGGAGGAAGGCCCAAGGGCGCCCGGGAAACTTAACAGGGAAGCCTAGACGCCCTCCCCCACGCACACACACATACACCCCAGTTGCTCCTTGCCCCAGCTCAACGACCTTCCTTTTTATTCTTAATAGTGATGACTTTCACGACCCTGACCCCCAGCCTGAGCCTGTGGAAGATGACATCGAGGTAACAGAGAGTCAATTTGTTGTTATGGTGGGACCCTTTTTTCTGGGGACATGTCTCCTGGGATGGGAGGTAATCAAAGGTAGTGTCCATTTCCAGCTTGAAAGCTCCTCTCTCCTACTGACTGGTGGAATCCGTGGAGAAGGGTTGACATTCTTCCTAGACCACAGACCCTTCCTAGACCCTTTGCCCACTCTGAGATCTTGCTGCCCAGCTCCCAGGGCCTTTCTGCCTGCTGTGTCCCCACATGTGCATCATCCCTACCCTTTGGCCACTTGCCCCAAGGAGGGAACAGGAAATGCACCAGGGCATTAGACCAGGTAGAAGTGGTGGGGGGATTGGTGAGCAGATCTACCCTTGAGGTAGGGGAAGGGGAGGAGGAGGAGGAGGAGGCACTGTTGGCACACGTGTGTGTGTGTGTGTGTGTGTGTGTGTGTGTATGTGTGTGTGTGTGTGTGTGTGTGTGTTGGGGAAGGGAGGGTGGCCCATGGGCTCTTGCCCTCTGCAGTTGTTAGATGACACCCTTGACCTGGAAGCAGAGCAGGATGTAGAGTCGGAGTCGGAGCTGGAGTCCGAACTGGAACCAGAGCCTCAGCTGCTCCCAGAATCGGAGTCAGAGCTAGAAGATGAAGTCCCTGTCCCTGTCCCAGTCAGCGTCTTTGTTCAAACCTCCAATCTGGCATTCAACCTGGCCCCGAGGAACATGCCTCCGGGACCCAGAGTTAATGTCCAGATCCAGACAGCTGTTGGACCAAAGGGGACGTTGGAGTTAAGCATTTCCCATGAGCCCCGGAGCCCGGAGCCCTTACCAGTGAAGGATGGTCTGCACCATACGTTCCGGTCCGTCTTTGTGCAAACCTCCAAGCACCTGTTCCAGATGGACAAGCTGATACAGGCGTCTGACCATCGCCTCAAGCAGCCATTAGGGATAGGGCACCACCCATTGCCAATGCGAGACTGGCCTTTCCAGAGATCTTTAGGAAGAACCTCCAAGGAAAGCCTGCTCTCTGGCAACAAATTATCCAAGATGTTCATGGAGGATGTTAGAGTTCAAACCTCTCACCCAAGCCTGGGCATTGAAGGTTTCCCACCACAGAGCCCCATTCAAGCATTACTACCAGAAAGGTCGCCCTCAGAAATTCAATTGCTATCTTCCCGAAACTTGTCTGCTAAATTCTCGGAGCCACTGGACTTCAGAATGCTAGACTTTCGTCCAGCCTCTGCCAGCCTTCCCCCAGCACTGGTTTCTAGTACTGTGACCTCCTACAATTCCTCTTCCACAGAGCTGATACCTGATTGCAAAGCTCTGATTTCCTGCAAGTCTTCCCTAGGGCTGAGAATGAGTTCCAGGTCACCCATGACCCAAGAATCGACCACAGACCTTTCCATAGCAACTGAGCAGCCAGTCTCACCTTTACCCCTCCTGAAGCCACCAGAAGCAGGGGAGCCTCAGAAGTCCATCAGCCAGGAATTTGCCTCACTGAAGCCAGGCTATGCTCTGAACATGACCAAGGCAGCCTCAGAAAGAGCATCCATGGAAGGGGAAATTAACCCTCTCCAGTCTCCATCTTTAGCTCCACTGTCATCGGGACCTTGGAAAGAGTAAGTAGAATCCTAGTTCCCACCCAACCTTCAAGACCTCATTTGTACATATGTATGTATTTGTGTTCTTTTGGGGAGGAAGAACAGAAGAGGATTTGATGAATTGTCCATTTCCTTTCACATGGGAACATACATAACACTACCCCACCCCCTCCAGAAGGGGAAAAGGGATAGAAGATGGAAGGTCAGGTAGGGGCATGGAAATAGAATGATGCTACATAGAAATCACAGCAGAGGTGGTGGAGGTGAGGGGTGGGGATGGGGTGGGGGTGGGGAACAAGGTGATGGTAGCTAAGGAACCAGGGAGAATGAGGGCAATGAGGCCCAGAGTTCCAGCTGCTCCACATATTATGAGGGGTGGATGAGGAGAGAGGGTAATGATTTCCATGGAGTTCAGACCTCTTCCTAAAAGAGAACCCCCTGGCCCAGATGGATAGATTCCTTCCCCTACCCCACCCCCAGACTCTTGCCTGGCTCTTGCGTGGGCCAGGGTTGACTACAATACACATGGCCTCTAGGGTGAGGAGGGAACCATTGAGTGCATGGAGGGGGGTGCAGAGCCTCTCGACCAGCAAATCCTCTCCCAGTGCTTCGTGGGAATAAACAGACACTGACACAGATGGACAGCCGGCTCCAAAAGCCTTGGAGGTAGGGGGATATTAACTCCCCCATTTCCCTCCCACCAACCCCCCACTGCGTCCAGCTAGGAGAGGCTGCCCTTCTCTCCTGTGGTGGTGGCAAGGGCCTGGGCCTCCCGTGACTCTGTCTCTCTTATGTTGCAGCTCGAGGTCAAGAGCCAGAAGTGGGAACCCACTATTCCTACATATACTTTTTAAGCTGTCACCCTCACATCATATCCTAAAAATGCTTAGTCAAAGATCAATAAAAACCCTCCAGTGGTGGCTCACCCCACCGGCTCCGCTTTTTTGTCCTGACGCTCCTGGATAGAGAGAGCCTTGAGCTCCCATTTGCTCTTTTCCAGTCGCAATGTTCTTTTTTTCTGATCTTTTTTTAGTTTTTGGGGATGTTTTTAGGGAGCCCTTCCCCACTTCCCTTCCCCTACCACGAGCTTCCCCTAGGCCCCACCTGGCTAGTATTGCTTCTATCTCTGCCTGCAGTCACTTCCTCCTGCACAAAACTTACTACTGGCCCCGCTGCCCCAAATGACAAGGGATGAACATGGCAGCACTCTTAGTAGATCGCCCCTAAGTTGAGGGTCTTTAGGTCCAGTGTGTGGCTTTCTCTATGGATGATAGATAAGGAGGCTCCCTCCTGGGCTTCAGTTTCTAAGTCTGTAAAAGAAATCAGTGGGCAGGGGGCAGCTAGGTGGCTCAGTCAATAGAGCTCTGGCCTTGGAGTCAGGAGGACCTGAGTTCACTTAACACTTATTAGCTGTGTAACCCTGGGCAAGTCACTTAACCCCAATTGCCTCACAAAAAAAAAAAAAAGAAAGAAATCAGTGGGCAGAATAGAGGCAATCCCCTCCGTCGGCCTGGAATGTGAAACCTGCTAGGATATTTGAATAGCAGGGATGTCTCCTTAGGTGGGGACTAGTGATGACCAAAATTTTCTGGGAGTGGCTCTTCCCACTACTTCTCAAGGGCTTATGTAGGTTATTGATTTATGAATTTGGGGAAAGAGTACTGGATTTAGAGTCAAAGGATCAACACTGGAATTCCTGGTATGACCTTGAACCAACCTCTGCGCGTCAGGCATCAGGCAAACAAGGGAGTCAGACTCAGTGCTCTAAAGCTATGATCTTATGATTTATACTTTGGCTATTTTGAGAAGAGGATTTAAAGTGAACATGCCACTTCAGCTGAAAAGTCCTGAGCTGCTTGTGATGGAGGGGAAGGTCATCCCTACCCCCTGAGGCTGGTGCCCTAGGGGAGGTTCCTTTTGGGGCAGGGTAGAGTTCTAGATTGGGGTAGGCTAGCTTCTTTAGGGTCTCAGAGACTTTGGCTTTAGGATTAAAAATCCTCAGAAACTGCCAAAATACCCATCTGGACTCAACTTCCTTGGAAACAGGGTCCATGGGACTGAGGGAGACATCAGTGCTTAGATCCTAGGGCTGAGCAGATCTTGCTGCAGCCCCAAAGCTGGAGGAAAGATAAGGGGGAAAGGAAGGAAGGGGGAAAGGAATGAAAGGAGAAGGAAAGAAGAGAGAGGGAACCAAGAAAAAAAAAGATTTCTGGGAGCCGGTGTATGGCACAGGAAGGCAGGGAGAGGTAGCAGAGAGAGAGGAGTAGGGTAGAGAGACCTGGAAGAAGGGGACAAGAAGTCGAAAGAAGGAAAATGAGCCAGCAAGGGGGAAGAGGAAGAAATTCAGAGGTGAGTGATTGGGAGGGTTCAGAGGCTGGACATGAGCAGAGAAGAGCAGGGGAGTGGCTCCTTCCCCCTGGCCCAGACTCATCTCTCTGGGTTGTTTTTTGGTGGCAGAGAGGGCCAGGATCATGATAGATTGGGGTGGGGGTGGAGAGGCCCTGCATCTTGGTATGATGTAAAGAGCCCTGGTTTTAAGGAGCCACTGATTAACTATGTGACCTTGAACAAGTAACATTATTATTTTCACTCATTTCTAACTGAAATTTGGCATTCCCCTTCAATGATATGAAAGCATTATTCTGAGAAAGTATATCCCTAGGCTTCATCAGATAGCCAAAGACGGTCCATGACACCAAAAAAGGTTAAGAACCCCTGGCCTAGATGGTCTCCAAGGTCTTTGCTAATTCTGGGGTCCTTATGAATCCATGTTGCAGGTGGTCACCAGCAGAGGACCAGGAGATCCACAGTGATACAGAAATGGTACAGGTGAGGTTTCGTTCCTCCCACCACCTCCCTTTCTCCTCTGAAGATAATGATGGAGCGCTTCTGTTCTCCAAACTTCTCAAGACTTCAGGCAGAGTACACCTTCCCATACAACCTTCCTAACGTGGGTCCCCCCAAGAGGGCACACTACACAGATGGGAAAAGTGGACCAAAAGAGAGATGGGACTTCCACTGGCTCAGCCGCCATGACTCAACAGTCATGGCTACACTTTGGGGAAAGGGGTATTAGGGTCATTCGGCACCTTCCCCATAAGCCCCCTAAGGACACAACAGCCATTGCTCTTTGAGACTCAAAAGACTTTTCCTTAGGATTAGAAACAAAATTGAGTGGAATTGTGTGGGGAGGTATGTGGGAAGGAGGAGGTTTTATAAGATTTACAGCCAAAATGGTCATCTGATCCACCCCCAGACCTGTTTGAGAAATGAGGACAGAGGCTCAGAGTTGATGAGTTAACCAGCCTCAAAACCCCATGCCAGAGACAGAATTTGGAATCTTCTAACTCATCACCCAGGGAAGAGCAGAGTCAGGCACCCTTGTGCTAGGGACCACTTTTGTTTAAGGGTTTAGGTTTGAGGCCAAGGACAAGAAGGGTTCCTGTGGACTATTGGTTAGTACATTGTTGTCCCAGATGGCCCCAGGGTCTTTGGAGGCTGAGGTGGGGAAAGACCCAACAGATCTAACCCCAAAGGTGAAGAAAGAACTTTTGGCCTAACAGGTTCAGGGAAGGCCTGATGAAGGAGCCAAGCCTCAGAGGTGAGGGCTGGGGATTTGATGTATGGGGGTGGGGGTGGGGGGAAGGGAGAGTAGGCTTCAGAAAGATGGGGAGGGACTTTGTTTCCCTAGATTCCTGTCCCTAGAGTGGGACAACTAGCAGTAGTTGGGGGCTGACTGATGGTGAACCCCAGGACAAAAAATCTATTTGGAGGTGTGGTAGGGGATAGGAGGGGAAAATGGAAAAGCATTCACTTATAGTAAGGCTATACTTGGGTATCAGGATTGACAGCCCTCTTGCCAATAGGAGACGGGACCTCTCTAGCCTCTTTGCACCAGTGGACATCCCTGCCGAGTATGAGCATCCCCTGACCTCTAGGCAGGTGGCAGGTGAGGGGAGAGGCTTCCATTTGGAACACAGGTGGGAAGGAAGGCTTAAGCCAATCTAGGCCCTGGGATGGAGAAGACAGCTAGATGTCCCCAGCTGGGGTGGAAAGTAATAGAACCACCTATAAAGAATTATGCATAAGCCACATTTTGGTAATTCTAAGGCATTAGGTGAGGTCATTTTTTAAAAAAAGTAATTATGCAGCAAACCTTTTTGTCAATGGAAGAATGGCTCTCCTTTTGTATAAATCTAGGTGTTCATTCATTGGGTTTATTTAAAATGGGACCTAACTTGCTGACCCTTCCCATGCCCTGCTCCAACCCTCTCTCCCCTTTGCCCTTCCCCTTACAATTTTTAAGTTTTTAAGGCACAAACTCCCCCCCACTATCCCCATCCCACCCCCAACAGCCTTCCAGGATGTCTTCCAACTGTTTAAACCGGGCTCCCAGGGCAAGCTGGACATGCGGAGCATGAAGGGGGCACTACGGACTGTTGGCATCCAGCTGAGCCCCCAGGAAGTGTGTGAGGCCCTGCGGCGGGCCGACCTGGATGGTACCTCTGCCCACAGGGCTCTGCACAAAACCAGCTCCCACAGCCCAGTCTCTCATTATACCCTCACCTTACTTTTTCTTCTCTTCCCCTCGCCTACTAAATTAATCCTTCCCTGCTTTCAGGTGTTCCTCCGGAAAGCTTTTCCTAATTATCCCTGTTCTCCTCCCCTACGGTCATCCTGTCTTTCCTCTATTACCCCCACAAACTTGTAGGCCACAGAAGGGGGTAGTAATAGGTGCTTACATGTTTGTTGATTGATTTCACTCAATGAACTATGGCATGGGAAATGTTACATTTTACTGTTGCTTTATGGCTGGAGGCTGTTGTTTGGTCCCTGGGTGGGGACCCTGAGTGGGGACCCTGAGCGGGGACCCTGAGCCTCCCTTCTGAGGATGGATGAACCCCCTCCCTCCTTTCCCCTCCCCAGGGGCAAAAGGCATTTCTGTTTTAGTGTGATTCTCTCAGAACCTAGCACAAACCCATACCCTGATGTACCAGCTCTCTCCCTGCTCTCAAACACTCCTGAGCAAACACAGGTACAAGATTTCTCTTCTTCCAAGGTGATGGAGCTGTTGACTTTGAGGACTTCCTTGGGATCCTGACAGACAATCACCGCTTTGCCCAATGCATGGGTGAGGAGGCATTTTTTTTTTATGGATAGTGGGGTCCGGGAGAGGAAAAACTAAAGCTTGCCACACTCCCAAATCCTTAAAAAAAAAAAAACCTCACTAGTCACTAAAAATATTGTCCTGTATTTCTCCTGTCTGTCACAGCCCGACTCCTAGAAAGAGCTGCCTACAGCTCCATACCTCCACTTTCTCTTCTCACTTCTGGTCATCTGGCCTCTGAGCTCACTCAGCTAAAACAGCTCTCTCTCCAAGAGGACTCTAGGGATCCTCTTAATTGCCAAATCTGATGGATTTTTCTCAGTCTTCAGTTTCTCCAGCATTTTGACCCTGTTGACCACCCTCTCTGCCTGAATCCCCTTTCTCCTTTGGATTTTTTGTGACTGATCTCTTTGGGTTCTCTTTCCACCTGTGACAACTCAGTCTCCTTCACTGGATCTTCTGTATCCTCCCCAGAAATCCAGGGTGTTCCTTGGGGCTCTGTCCTGGACCATCCTTTCTCTGCCGCTTGTTTCTCTCCCTACGCCTTTCCCTCCTCTCTCTGTCTCTGTTCCTGTCTCTATCTCTCTCTGTTTCCTCTCCCATTGGGTTTAATTATGACTTTCAAATCTATATATTCACCCCTAGTCGTTCTCTGCAGCTCCAGTTCCATATTTCCAACTGCCTATGGGTCGCACAGACATCTCAAACTCAGCATGTTCAAAACTCCCCATCCCTTCCCCACACCCCTACTTTTGTTGAGAGCACCACCCCCCATGTTTAGACACCTGGTTTGCCACTTCACAGTCATCCTAGACTCCTCTGGTTGGCACATCCATCAGTAGAGCATCTCTCAAATCCATCCCCTTTCTCTCACCACTCACCTGGTCATCACTGTGTAGTTCATGCCTTTATCAACTCTTGCCTAAAAGATTCAAACATAATTTCTCTCCCTGCCTCAAGTCTCCCCCCTTGCCGATCCATCCTCCATAAAACTGCCCAAGTGATGCTCTTAAGACACCCATTTGATCATGTCACTTCCCTGCTCAAAAAGCTGTGAGTTTCCTGTTACCTCTGGATTCAAATAGAAATACCTGTTACAGCCTTTCAAACTTTCAGACTGTGATTCAGCTGAAGAAGCCTTCTTGCTGCTGTTCATACAACATTCTATCTCTTACCTTTTCACATGCTCTCTTTCCTGCCAGCACAACTCTTCCATGCTTAAAATACAGTCCTTCATCTCCATCTCTTAGAATAAACTTATTTCCATCATAACTCAACTCCTTCCTGATGCCCATCCCAACCCAACCTGGTAGTGCCTTCCCACGCCAAAATTACCTTGTTACACAACTGCACTAAGACTTTTGGGACATCCTGTATTTTGTACCTGCTCACATGTATATGTCTCCTAAACAGATTATAAGCCCTTTGAGTGCAGGGATCATTTCATTTTTATCTTTGTATCTTAGCAGTGTCTGGCATGTAACAGGCACTTAATAAATGCATGTTGATTGATTTAATACACCTAAAGGTCGGATGAGAAACAGTCGTATCAATGATCCCCATGGTCTGGAAACGCTTTTCTTCGAGATGATGTCTAAGTTTGTGGGTCAGGGGGCACTGTCCCCCAAATCAGTGGCGGAGGTGGTGAGGTGTGCGGGGCCCAGGCACCTCCTCCCCTCCCCAAGCACAAGGCCCTTTTTCTGTCTGGAGCACCCCTCCCCATATTCTCCAAAGTTGTTAAAGATTTCCTAGCTATTCCTACCCTACTCTGACTATTCAAAACCCCCAGTAGGGGAAGGGAGGGCACCTAGGGCATAGTGCCAACAACCATGGCCTCTGGGGATGGTGGTGGTGCCATTTTTTATCCACTACCCCAGATCCCCTAAGGAATCTAGAGCCCGGGATGGGGTGGGGACCATTGCCTGGTGGCCTGCTCCTGCTTGCCCTCCCCACCCCATATCCCACCTCCCCCAGTTACTACACAGACAAGCAGAGAGTGTTGCGAATGAGCGCTTGGTGGAAGGGCCTGAATCACAAACACAACCGAAGCTACCGATCCCGATCACACACGGGCCTCAGCTTCTTCTGCCAGGCCACACGCCTGGCCGGCCTGAACAACCGGCAACTTGCCCGATCCCTGCATAACCTCCGGGACTTGAGTATGGATCTTCCACAGTGAACAGGGGAGCAGTCGGCATGGGAGGGGAACGGCTGAAGGGGGTTCCGGGTGAAGGGGGAAGCCCGCTTTTGAGGGAGAGAAGCACTAAAACAAGTCTTCTTCCTGTTGGCCAGATGTCCAAGGCCCCTACTCCCAGGTCCCCAACCTGCCCTCTCGGGCACAGTCGACAGAAAGGAGGAATCGAAGCAGAGGTCCCCGACTCTCCACCCTGGCCAGGCCCTGCAACAAACCCAAGCCGCCTCAGCGAGAGGCACCTCGGCCACGGGCTCCAGGTAAAAGTAATTGGAGAGGGGAGGGGGCTGGCTGGCTTGTGCCCAGCGTCCATCCCACCTCCCCTGATACCAATCCTGCTCCTTTCTTTACAGAGCCCACAGGTCAGCGACCACAGTCAGAAGACGGGACTGCAGAGCTGGGACCAGCTCCGTCCCCACCCACCCTGGTCCAGAGCCAACTCCCTTCCCCACCCCCTCCTACCCCACAGAGTCATTCTTTACCAAATGATTACCAATAAAACATTTCCTTAGAGAAATTAGTGGCCTGAATTGCATCCTCACCAGAGTGGGGAGAAGGGGGGAGATGGAGACTGGCACAAAGAACACAGTTATCTTCCAAATTCATTTATTCAGTTTGAAGTATAAAAATAAGGTCCCTGGGGTTTCTCCCTCTCCCCTCCCCCCATCCTCATTTCCTACCCCACCCTCCCTACCCCAGGCCAAGGGCAAAAAGTGGGGAGGCATTTCATAATTTATAGATGCCGGCCCCCACCCTTCTGGGATCGGAGCATGGCTTACTTGATGAAAGGTAAAAGGGAGGCAGCACCTGATATCTTGGGGGATGGTGGTGGAACATTTCCTCATTGTGATGCTAAGATCTGGACTGCTGCCCCTCTGTGGTAAGAAGAAGAAGTGCATCTATAGAAGGCTGTCCCCAGGAGGCAACCTGGGGGGATCCTGGCAAGCTGGAAAATGAGCATGATTTCCAGCCCTTTCCTCATGATTGTCATTTGCTCTCCTAAGCAACGGGAAAGAGGGCTCCCCGTGAACGAGCTGACATGTCCCTGCTCGTACAGGTGACTCTGACCTAGGGTGGCCCCATTTCCAGGAGTCCATGGAAACTGGAGAAGAGGAAGGGAGGGGTTCCAGCAGCCCAGGGGCTACAGTGCAAGGTCAGGGGTCATCTGCAGGGAGGTGCCAGGGGACTTTCGGCGGGCACTCCGACGACCTGTATCTGACCTTCGGTATGGCTGACTCCGAAGATCTGTTGAGAGAGGTACACAGACACCTTTAGTTCTGGACTTTGGCTATAGGCTAGTTTTCTCTCTCTCTTCCCTACTCCATCCCACCCAGTCTCGTGGCTCCTTCACTACCACCAAGACCGAAGTCATCCATGAGATGTCACGACCCCCAGGGAGCCCTCCTTCCCATTCTCCCTCATTGCTGGGAAGTTTGCAAACTTAGCCCAGAGTCCAGACATCTTGCTGCTTAGCTCTGTAGCCAAGGAGGTGGAGCTCAGGTTCAGACACAAGATCAGAATTCTGCAGACCCTAATTCATCCCAACCCCAAGCATGCCTGTGGGGTGAAGGACCAGGGGTCCTGTTTACCTAGTCCGAGACCTGAGCTGTGACATCTGCTACCCTCCTCCCCAAAACCAAGGGGACAGCTGGGCCACGGCAGAAGCCACATTGTTTAGGGGTGGGGTCAGCTTCCCCCGGCTCCCCCAACCATCAGGTACCTTGGGTTAGGGTGGGGGTAGGATTCTAGAGGGGGCTCTCGTCACTGAGGCCAGCCTCCAGAAACAGTCGGGATGTCCGCTTGCCCGTGCGGGCAGTGAAGGGCGCTGTCTTCAACACTGAGGTGAGGGGGAGGGGTGGGGACCAGGAAGAGGGAGAAGAGGAGGAAGAAGAAAAGGAAGCCAGAGCAGTGTAAAGTACAACCAGACATGGCAGGATGAGGGGTTCGGGGAGAGCATGCAGGAGCTGGCCCCGTCCTCTCCTGAATTTGTGGAAGAAGATGGCTGCCCTGGCACCAGAGAAAGACAGCAAAGAGACAGAGTCCAGCCCAGGCTGCTCTTCCCTCCCTCCCCTAGTGACCGGCCCCCCCTCTCACCAGTGATAATGTCCTCTATGGCCCCATCACGGTCACTCTCATAAATGAGCGGCTCTTTCTGCTGCTTCCTCTTCAGCTCCGAAATGAGGTCCATTTGTTGCCTTCGGGCCTTGGTAGGGGACTGGATCAGAGGTGATGGGGAGGCATGCTTTGACCATCTGGGCCTCCTCCTCTCCTTCCAATCCCCAGCCACCCCAGACACCCCATTTCTCAGGGACGCAGCTGGGAAGGTGGTGACCACTGGAATGCCCAGGGGGATCCAGTGAGGGGCTGGGATGGGTGGGAGGGAGGGAGGCTCAGGGAAGAGACACTAGACAGCCTCATCCCCACAGCAAATACTTGAAGACCTTCCTGGGCAATGGAAAACCACTTTGCAGGTGTAGACTTTGGTCTCCTTAGGCTACATAAGGGCACATTGCCCGCCCCCCCCCAATAGACAAGCAGTGAAATGATGTCCCCACGGAGACCAGCTGTGGTTATGGGGGGCAGGCAGGGAGGAAAGAAAAGAAATCCAGCATCTCAACACCCAAGCAGCATGGAATCATGCCTTACCTTGGGCACTGCAGGCTCCCCTTCGCCTGCGATGGGAGCCCCGGGAGCCCCGGCCTCCTGGGCTGCAGCCTCCTGTTTCTTCCACTGTTCCACCTCCTGCTCAGCTTTCTGGCAGGAGGTAGCCATGGTCAACTCAACATGACCGTTCCCCCCACACACAGAGCACCCCCTCTAGGCAGGATCCCTGCATCCACTCTGCCCAGCCATCTGGCCCTCCAGGAACTTCAGCCAGAAGTAGGGTTCCACCGTAGCTCCCTCCCAGAATACAGGCCCAGCCTCCCTCCCCTAACCCCTAATGAGCCTGGCATTGCAGGGGCAGAAGGCAGAGGAAGGACTAGGGGTAGGCAGGGCATAACCAGGGGCTTGGATTTTTTTTGTTGTTTTTTGGCTTACACAATGGGGTTAAGTGACTTGCCCAGGGTCACACAGTTAGTAAATGTTATGTGTCTGAGGCTGGATTTGAACTCAGGTCCTCCTGAATCCAGGGCCAGTGCTCTATCCACTGTGCCAACTAGCTGCCCCCCAGGGGCTGGATTTTTTTTAAAAATGGCTGTATTTTTAATGACAAAAATACAACACAGCTGTGCATATTTTTTTTTGAATTTACAAGTTTCATTTAATCAGGAATAGGCAGCAAAAAAAAAATGCAAAGCCAGCTTTCTTTACAGTGTCAAAATGCAGAACAAATGGAAAAATATTATGGCGTTGTGCAAATTTATTTTGTGATGGCTCAGGTGACACATGTTACAGATAGGCAGCTGTGTTACTAGAGCTCCAAATCCTGCCTCAGATACTACCTGTGTGACCCTGGGCAAGTCACTTAAACCCTCTCAGCCTCAGTTTTCTTCTCTATAAAATGGGGATAATAATAGCACCTTCCTCACAGTTATCATGAAGATTAAATTATATACTTATACATATGTATTTCACATTATACATTTGTTTTATACATTTATATATGTACATGTAAATGTAAAGTACTTTACAAACAGTAAGATGCTCTAAAATACTAGCTATTAGCTAGTCTTATAAGGCTCAGAGCCTCTAGTAAACAGTGACAGATAATGGGTACAATTTTCACTTAAGGTGGGAGGGGGCTGGGGGCATGTAGGTGGCACCATAAAGCACAGAGCACAGCACTGGCCCTAGAGTCAGGAGGATCGAGTTTAAATCCGGCCTCAGACATCTACTAGCTGTGTGACCCTGGGCAAGTCACTTAACACTGACTGCCTCCAAAAACAAACAAAAATCCACCAACGCTTTATCCTGACCCTAGCTAGGAGTCACAGTTGCAAGTCTATTAACAAACAGCTCACATTTATATAGTGCTTTCAGGCTTTATATGTTATTTTCTCAGCTATCTCATGTGGTGTAGGTGCTGTTATTATGCCCATTTTACAGATGAGGGAATCGAGGATGAGCCTTGAGGTTTGCCCAGTCAGCTGGTAAATGTGTGAGGAGGGTTTTTAAATCCAAGACTTCCCGACTCCCAAGTCAGATACTCTACAATAGTTCCTCACAGAAAAGCCAGGATGCCCAGCCCAGACATTCCAATAACCCCAGGACCCCTTGGGAATTAATTACACAGCCCCTCTCCTTTCCAGGCCCCTCTCCAATACCTTATAGGCTTTGACGAAGCGACTGAATACAGGGAAGAACATAGACGGAGGGGTGGTCTTGGGATTCTCCCCGAAGTATTCCACCACAGATTCATATGCCTCCTGTAGGTAGGTGCCTCCCATCAGTCTGACTCATCAGCTTCCCACCTGATCCCTGTCCTGCTCCAGCCCGGCCTCCACGTCCCCACCTGATCCCCGTCCCACTCCAGTCCAGCCTCCAGTCCTCAGAAGGAAGCCCTCATGCGTCTTTTCCTGACCTCAACAGCTGTCCACTTCCACCACCCCCCCACCATGGTTCTGACCCTGTTGCCCTCTTGTGCCAGGCCCCCCCAGGCCCAACTATGCCTGGGTCCTACCCCTCTAACCCATCTCTGATATTCCTGAGTAGAAAGTAAGATCCAGGAGGGCAGGTTGGGCTTTGTTTTTTGGTCTTTACATCTTTGGCGCCTGGCTCATAAGAGATAATGGGATGAAAGGCTCACCTTGCTGGGATGCTTTTCTGCCACAGCCCTTTGAGAGGGTGTGTGTGTGTGTGTGTGTGTGTGTGTGTGTGTGTGTGTGTGTGTGTGTGTGTGTCCCAGTCCCGCTGATGCTCTTGCATGCCTGCCCTGCGCACCCACCACCCCCTAAGGTTCCTCCCACTGGCACAGAGCCCTGCCCTGCTGTCCCACCTGGGCTGTCTTTCCATCGGCCAACAGCTTCTCCATACTGGGACTGTTGACCTTCAGGAACTCCTTCAACACGGCATTATCATCTTGGCGCATGAACTCCCGCCTGGTCAGCTCCATGCCCCGCTGGAGAGCCCGGGTGTCCTGGAGGACACTGTCTAGGGACACTGGAGGGAGGGTAGGTGAGCAATACATCAGGGAGAGACAGAATCTCTCCCTTGCCCTCATTTCTTTCTTTCTTTCTTTCTTTCTTTTTGGAGGCAGGGTAAAGTGACTTGCCCAGGGTCACACAGCTAGTGAGTGTCTGAGGCCGGATTTGAACTCAGGTACCCTCATTTCTTCTTATTCTCTCCTCATTCAGTCATCCCTCCCAGTCAGTCTCAGCTGCTTGGTGTCCCCCTTCCCCCTGGGTACACCCTCAGTCCCAAGAGGCCAATGAGCAACAGGGAGCCCCTTGACCCCTCCCCACTCCCACCCTCCAGCCCATACCAGCCCCAGCCTTGTCCAGAAAGTGCAGGTCAGCGTGGAAACAGGTGAGTTTGGGATACTTCTCTCCGATCACCTTC